AAAAAAAAAAAAAAAAAAAAAAAAAAAAAAAAAAAAAAAAAAAAAAAAAAAAACCGGCATAAATTAACAATATGAGTATTTTGTAATTGCTATCGTGGAATTATTTGAAAATGCGCAACTAAAGAAACTGCCCTTAATATTAGGAAATCGCGCCGACTACGACATCTGGGCGGCGCTCGGCAACAAAGGCTGGGGCTACGAGCAGGCCCTCCACTATTTCAAAAAGTCCGAGGACAACCGCAACCCTTATATATATATATTTCACCACCGCGACAATCGCGACGGGGAGATTAATGTGCGAACGCACCTCCTCCTCGCCCTCGAAACTGTATATTATATATTATGCACACGGTTGAAATAAACGATATCGCCGATCGCGAGTGTAATCTCTCTGCTGCGGCGCACAGTAGTAGACGGAAGACCATAAATTCCGGGCGGCCCATACAAGCGTCCGTCACTCGCGTGTATACAAGCAAGTGTTTAATGTTGCAGACAAACTCGAGAGAAGAGTCGGTCCCGTTGGTGTAGCTCGAGGTAAAGGAAATCGCTTCAATGGGAGGAGGGGAGGCGCGGTGCACCCAAAGCTCGTTAAAACCCAACACTTTATTTGTCTCTGTGCTGATTTTCGCTCGTAAATCAACCATTTTATCATCGCCGCGTCTTGTTTGCCCTGTGGTTACGGTAGCTTAATTGAGATTTTCTTTTCGAGTATAATGTAGATATATGTACACTCATCTTCTTTCACAGGGTCTGGCCATTTGCACGTGTTCTAGACAAGCTTATCTTATTTTTTGTTGAAAATGTCCTTCTAAAAGGATATTATGGTTACAGAAAATACTTTTCATCATTTTTTTTTTTTGCGATTCAAAGATTTGAATCAAATATTTGTGAATCACGTGGACAGCCCCATTGTAGATTTAAAAGGCCCTCGATGAATCAATTGCCATTACTTAACGTCACTCATTGCACGGTAAAAGTGCCAATTGTGGGCACAATGGCTTTCTACATGGGAAGCAAGCAAATCGCGATATCCTGCATTTTTTTTTCGTCGGCCAAACATTTTTGAGCTCGATCGAGCGCATAGAGGTTCTTTCCTTTGTCTTTGCTCGAGTCCGAAGATAACTCATAACTAACAATGATATCAGTTCGTGCCCCAAGTTTCGAGCTATGTGGCTGAGCAGCGTATAATATATTATACATACATAGTGTAACGTTGTATCAAACGCCCTGATCAGCCTACATGTGCGAGCGTATATTTATACATACAGTTGATATAAATCAATAGAGGCTTTTCGCGAGAAAATTTTCATCCCAACGCGCATACACATTGCATGTGTATACGAGTGCAACCACGAGGTGAATAATATTATACCCCGATAGCAAGTCGATCGGGATCGGCTGCGGTGTGCTTTCGCTCGTTTCAAAAATACATTCTGGTCTCTCTCTCTCTCTTTTTTTTTTTTTTTTTTCCTCATCCACATTATAATCACAAAGTTTCGAGTATAAAGAAAAAAAAAACGAGGCGCTAAAAATAACGAGCATGACTTTGCATATACGTGGATACGTGTATAAATTCGTTAGTATACCCCCCTCGGTATGTTTTCAGCGTTTACTAACACTGGTGTTTTTCGTTGTTGTTGTTTTTTTTTTTTTTTTTTTTTTTTTCCAAACGAAAGCTCGCCAAAAGAGAAGGCTCGAACATTTGCGCTGTACGTGTGTCTCTCTCACGCGCACAGAGTCCCGGGGTGTGTGTATCCATGGCACTTTCTCTGGCTTCCACGCCCAAATAATGGCACCGCGGAGCATAAAACAGTCCGTACAGGTGCGAGACGCCGAAAAGGACACCGGCACACCTGCGCCATTATTCGTCGAGAGCGAGCGCGTTTAGTTGTTTTTTTTTTAATCTTCGAATATTGTCGAGCTGTTAAAGATTAAAAACGAAACTCTCTTTTTCCAGGATGCCGGGAAGGACGAGCACGAGCGCGGCACCGGAGCAGACTCGAGCGTAACATGCGGCCCCGTGAGATCGGCGCAGAGGAAGGGCGAGAGGCCTCGAGGCCGCCCGACGTGACAGCTTCCCTTTGGCACTTGTTGACTCTCACCTCCGCGAGCACGTGGTCACGATTACCATATAGCCTCACGAAGGTGGGAGCACTTTGAGGATATATATATATATATACCATGCTGAGCACGATTGTCGTGACGTCGGCGCTAAAGGGCGCGATCGGCTTGGTTGGCACGGGACTGTGGCTGGTGCCTCTGCTCATTGCCGGGCTGTCCTACTATCACTACGATCAATTGGGTAACGAGCTCACGTTTACATTTTTTTTTTTTTTTCCCCATTGATAATCGTGGACCGACTAATTTGAGTAATGTAAAAACACATATAATGATAAATCGGGGATTATGCTGAGGTTTTGGCTCGAGAAAAAACAAGTAATTGACGCGTATTTTATACTATAAAAGTCATGTTTCTCATTTATACGTGCATGAGTCGCGATGCTTTGCAACAAAATGTATCGACCCATGAATTTCCATTAGATTTTACAAATAGTCCCAAAGGTGGTATTATAGTAACGAGTAACGCTCAAACCTACGTGTATTATGATCCTAATGATCCAAAGTGGGCATATTTTATATATAAATTTTTGCCTTCCCTCGAAATGACCAAACTCGAGTAGCGAACCATCGCGATCTCTCGTTTACGAGACGCGCATACAACGCGAGGATTTTATCGACCACAGGTATACTTATACTCAAGTCTTCCCTGACATTATGATTGAGTAAGATGCACTCCTCGCGCGAAAACGATAAATCATCCACTCGCGATCAATACCTATAGGTGTATCTCGTACACATACGCATTACAAAACAGAATTACGAATCGAAGAAAACCCGTGCGGTAAAATAAAAATAGAAAGAAAAACAAAACAGTCACTCTCTCTCTAAATAAGTAACGAGGACGCATATTGCCTTAGATCCCGAGAGTCGTCCGATCAATCGTTACCCCCTGGACCGGGAGTACGACTTTGTGGTGGTGGGGGGTGGCTCGGCCGGGGCGGTGGTGGCCTCGCGTCTGTCGGAGATCGGGCACTGGAGGATCCTCCTCCTGGAAGCCGGTCCGGACGAGAACGAAATCACGGACGTGCCATCGCTCGCGGCCTACCTCCAACTGACCAAGCTCGACTGGAAGTACAAGACCGAGCCGACCGGGCGCGCCTGCCTCGGCATGAAGGGCGGCAGGTGCAACTGGCCCCGTGGCAAGGTCCTGGGCGGCTCGAGCGTCCTCAACTACATGCTCTACGTCAGGGGCAACAGGATGGATTACGAGCACTGGGAGGCCCTCGGCAACAAAGGCTGGGGCTACGAGCAGGCCCTCCACTATTTCAAAAAGTCCGAGGACAACCGCAACCCTTACCTGGCGAGGAGCCCGTACCACGGCACCGGAGGCTACCTCACCGTTCAGGTTCGTTTTACTTGCTTCCCGCGTCTATGATTGCCCGTGTGCGACATAACGAGCAAAACACCCCGTTTCCAGGAGTCGCCGTGGCGAACGCCGCTGGTGGTGGCGTTCGTGCAAGCGGGGGTGGAGATGGGCTACGAGAACCGGGACATAAACGGCGAGCATCAGACCGGCTTCATGATTGCCCAGGGCACCATCAGACGGGGCAGTCGCTGCTCAACCGCCAAGGCCTTCCTCAGGCCGGTGAGGCTCAGGAAGAACCTCCACACGGCCATGAACGCCCACGTGACGAGGATCGTGGTCGATCGGGGCACGATGAGGGCGACGGGGGTCGAGTTCACGCGGGACGGCCGCAAACAAACGGTCCGAGCGAGGAAGGAGGTCGTCTTGTCGGCTGGATCGATCAACAGCGCCCAGCTGCTGATGTTGTCGGGGATCGGGCCGAGAGAGCACCTCGAGGAGCTGAACGTGCCCGTGATCCGGGACTTAAGGGTCGGCGACAACCTGCAGGACCACGTGGGAATGGCTGGGCTGACGTTCCTCGTGGACAAGCCAGTGGCCATCGTCCAGTCAAGGTTTCAAGCGGCGCCCATGACGATGCAGTACGTGGTCAACGGCAGGGGACCCATGACGACTCTCGGGGGCGTCGAGGGCTACGCCTTCGTCAACACCAAGTTCGCCAATGAGACCGGAGCCCACCCGGACATCCAATTCCACATGGCGCCCGCCTCCATAAACTCCGACGCGGGAGTCCAGGTGCGCAAGGTCCTGGGCATCACCGACGAGCTGTACGACACGGTTTACCGGCCGATCGCCAACAGGGACGCCTGGACCATCATACCGTTGCTTCTGAGGCCTCGGTCACGCGGTACTGTTCGCCTGCAAAGTTCGAACCCGTTTCAGAGTCCCAAGATCGACGCCAACTACTTTGACGATCCTCGGGATATGACGACGCTGGTCGAGGGCGCGAAAATCGCGGTGAAGGTCAGCCAGGCCAGGGTGTTCAGGCAGTTTGGCTCCAGGATACACAGGACAAAGATACCCGGGTGCAAGCACCTAAAGTTCGGGTCGGACAAGTACTGGGAGTGCCACATTCGTCACATATCGATGACGATTTATCACCCGGTGGGTACGGCGAAGATGGGACCGGCTGACGATCCGACGGCCGTTGTCGACCCGAGACTCCGGGTCTACGGGGTCAAGGGGCTCAGGGTGATCGACGCGTCGATCATGCCGACGATTACCAGCGGCAACACCAACGCGCCTGTGATCATGATTGCCGAGAAAGGAGCGGATTTGATCAAGCAGGATTGGAACGAGTTCAAGATATACTCCTCCACTTTTCAATGAACTTATCATTTTTTAATGGAAGAACGTCCGACTATGAGTGATGTGAAAATTCATTGTTGCAAAGTTAAGTTTTTTACGCTTTGATGTTGAAAAACTTTAGAAATAGTCTAGTGACTCTCAACTTAGTTGCAACCAAACTGTGGTTTCTTGAAAAACTAAGCTCTTAAGTAATTATTGAGTTAAACGGTAGGCTAATAACGAAGCAGGCTACATAATTTCTAGTGTAAAGTAACATTAATGAAAAATAAATAAATAAATTTAAAAAAATGACAGTAACAAAATGATATAAAGTGTGATGACTATAATGTTAAAAAAAAGTTCGATTGTAAGAATATTTTGCGTGTACAGTGTATTACTGTACCATGTGTCGTGCATAACTATACGCTTCGAGACTTGTAATTAAAGTTGCGATACTTTTCACTTCCTACATACGTGCGAGAGAGCGTATTAAGCTCGGTTAACACGTATACGTTCTCAATTAACATTAAGTCACACGTGCCATAACATTTTTACATGTTATTATAAATAACACTATCGATACTAAAGAATTTGTTGTCAGGCTTGATATATTTTTTTTTTTTTTTTCGTATGATTTTGTAATTGTTATTCTTCTTTAAAGGTGTTTAATAAATTGTTACTTACAAAAACTTTAATTTATTTATATACCAGTCCTTTTTACAGTTATGCGACATGAGTTGATAATTTTTTAGAGTTTCAAACTTTTAACCAAACATTAGAAAGTCAACTGAAAAAAAAGTTTGACATCAATACAAGTATGTATAGGAGTGAATCCTTCGACAGGGGCAACTGAAAAACCCTTTTTTTTTGTAGAAGAGAACATGAAGCGACCAGAAATGATAGTCAACAAAATCAATTTCCATTTATTTTTATCGCAGTAATCAAATGCCCTTGCTTATTAAATAAAAAAATAACGTGTCTATGCAATTTAGCTTTTTGTGATTCCAGGCACTTTGAATATCCTCCATTATATAGGTTGTGGCTGGAGATTCAAAATAAAAATCATAGGCCATTATGCACAAATAACGAACAATCATAGAATAGTTATATACGCTTTTGCAGGATCACGTAAGCAGCTTCGTGACTATACTGCTTTATTCAGTTAGTAGACTGGCAGAAGAGACGCACTCAATCATATACTTCGAAGCAAGGATCCTAGCGCGAAACCAAAAATATTTGTCAACTACCTCGATGATCCGGAGGATGTGAGGGTGATGATCGAGGGGATACGAGCGCCGATCAAAGTCGCCAAGACGAAGGCGATGCAACGGTTCAAGTCGAAATTTTACTATTTCGCTGTACCGGGCTGTGAGGAATATGAGGATGATTCCACCGAGTACTGGGAGTGTGCGGTTAGGACCTTCACTTTTACGATTTATCATTACACGGGGACGTGTAAGATGGCACCGGAAACCGATTCAACGGGGGTTGTCAATCCAAGATTGCAGGTGAGTTTTATCGTTTATGTTAAGGGTTTCCGAAGGGAATGAGCCATCTAATTTTCTTAGGTCAAAGGTGTCGGGAGATTGAGAGTGGCGGATGCGTCGATTATGCCGGTCATCGTTACTGGACACACCAATATTCCAACCGTAATGATTGAAGAAAAGGTTTCCGACATGATTAAGGAAGATTGGAATTTAGGTGCCAAGGAGGCGAGAAGTTGAAATCATGCATTGCCCTATGTTTTTGAAAGTAGGTAATAGAATATTAAGTACCGATACTTGGATTCACTTATTTTTACGTTTTCTTGTGTATCACCCAACTTTACATAAATTTCCTTGTGTTCATATGATTATATGAAATAAAATTATTTGTAAAAAAAGGATTACTAATACTCTCATATTTTAATCTTTTCTACTTATTGTTAAAAAAAACGAAATTTATTTTTCACGTGGTTTTCTTACGATTGAAAATTTAATGGTTGATTCTACCGCCTGAAATCTACAAATTAGATTTAAATTATGATTAATCCGATTCGTGGTACAAAATTTAGTGGGGACCCACGGGAAAACCTTCAATAAAAGTTTTAGTTGAAACTCGAGATGTTTTACTAAACCCCCCCTCCCAAAAAAACTGTATTCATGCATCCCAATGAATTTTCCAGGAATATATCATGGAAAGATAACTATTGCGGAACTAGTTGTACATTCAAAGAAACGTGTACGCCGGGAGATCTTGTAATTGTGAAAAACCTTATATAAAAATCCAAACACTGATTACACTTTTAAATATAGGTTCATAGTCTCGAGCCGTTTACGCTTGGAAAGAAAAAAAAATACACACTAGCTGGAGAAAGTTAAACTCGAGTCATGCCACTGTATGCACTGCAGGCTAGGCTTGACTTTTCTTTTCGGCGAAGGTTTTATAATTTAATCTTGGAAACGATTAAACTTCTCAATTAGAAACAATCGCGAATTAAAAGTGCACGCTATACCAAACGAGCTTCCTAAACGTATTTTCAGATGTAAAAAAAAAAAAAAAAAAAAAAAAAAAAAAAAAAAAAAAAAAAAAAAAAACAACAACCTGGTGGACCCGAGAAAAGAAAAAAATCCAGTTTGGCCGGATCAGCCGTACAACGCACAAATGCAACTCTAAATTCGCAAAGTTCCCCCCTCCGTCCCACCTCCAGCGACCGACTCGTTACGTGAATATACACACACTCGGCTCGTGAAAGCATGTAAACGCAAATGCAGCCTCTAGTCAATTTACACGCGCGCCTAGGAGATATTGTATAGAGAGGAGGTAGGGGGAATCGAAAAAGCCCCGGGAGAAGAGCTCTTTTCCACGTGGCCGCGTGAAATCCTCCGACCGACAATATCAGTCGACTCGCCGAGCCGACCGGCCGAACCCGCTGAACGACGGACCGTGGATTTTCGGGGTAAGCCCTGTTTGTTAACAACTACCGCGGATCGGTTTAGGAACTTTTCACGCGAGCGCCTCTCTCTCTCTCTCCCTCGCGACGCACAGACTTTTGCAATTAGACGTACGGAGATATAGATGTTGACAGGCGCACAAAAGAGAGGAGGGAAAAAAAAAGTCGAGATCCGCGGCCGCGATCGGAGCAACAGTGCCGTGAAAGTAGATCAATGGCTGCTCGGCACGAATTAAGGTCAGCGAGGGAGGGCAGGTGGACGAGGGCTTCTTTGCATTGTGTGCATCATATAGATAGAAAAAAAAAAAAAAAAACAGGCGCGAGCGATAGACAGAAGAGGAGGTGGGGGGGGGGAATAACAACCGAGCGAAGACCTATGCGAGGCTTTGTATTGAAAACGAAATGTCCGTAGGGGGTGCCGTCGACGACACAACGAAGGGAAAAAAAAGAGGCTCCCTCTTACGCTTTGTTTATCGAGCTTAGCAAGCAAAGCCCTTTTTATTACGCGAAGCTCTTGTGGAAAGCTCTTCCCTGCTGGCGGTGTTATCTATCTCTTCTTAATTTGATTAAACATATAGTTGTGTGAATAAAGAATTTTTTTCTTTTTTTTTTTTTCGATTACATTACACTAAGTAGATTGTCGCGCTAGATAAGAAGGGGGGGGGAAGAAAAACAAGAGATAATTTTACTTTTGCTGTTTATTCCATTTTTGTAATTTTAATCGCGGTAACGTAATGAAAATGAAATACGCGATGTATTGTAATAATAATAAAAAGTCATCACATTGCGGGCGCATTTCTTATGTTTTGAGGAGAGAGGGATATTGTTATTATTGTAGACGATATAGCGGTGACGATGATGATGTAAAATTCGTCAAGTCAAGGGAGAGAGAGAGACGGGGAACGCATGTGGGTAAAGTGCTATGTAACCGGCATCTGTGCGGCGTACCAGAAAGTTGAAAGTGAAAGTTATGCAATGGAAAGTTTACAAATAGACGTAGAAATCTCGCAAAACGCGAAAAAAACCAAACTCAACCTACTAATCTAGAAAATTGTTTGAAAAAAAAAAAAAAAATAGGTGTCCGACAGGTGTATCTGTCATGTAACTTTTCATTATTTTTCATTGCGTTACGCGATGATATCAGAGGTGTGACAATTAGATCCTAACTTTCACACTTTTTGTTTCCATGTCGTTCGAGCATTTCTTTTTTTTCCCCAAATTAATACCTATCCGCGTAAAAATTATCAAATACATAAAAAAAAGTTTTTTTATTTTCGTTGGCTTCACAAAAACTTGTAAACAAGATTATTTCAACCTGTAAGTATGCAATATCCAACCGGTTGAAAAAAAAAACCGACGATTCAATGGTGAAAGCATCGGTATTTTCAAAAGCGTCCATCCGATCGACTGGTTGGTCATCATTAAAAAAAAAGAAGAAAAAATCTAAAAAAAAAAAAAAAAACTTGTGTGGCTCCAGGCATTTATAAATTTACAAATGCGTGGCTGCTAAATCCTATACGAGTGTACTGATAAATGTTGTCGCGAAACACTTTTTTTCCCCCAACAACGTAATTGTCTTATAATAAAATCCACTGCACACGCGCGACAAACACTTTTATTGCCGTCATAAAATGTAAATCCTTGGAAAAAAAAGTTTCATCGATGCCCGTAAAATAATATGAAAATTACGGGTCTTGTCTTCGATCAATCGATAAACAGTCGAATGTTGATGCAGCACTTAGTGGCCGGCGCTGTGATCGCAAAAAATGCGGCAACGTGGAAGGGGAGCTCCGATGATCGGGTTGATCCTGATCCTGGCGACAGCAGCCACAGCCCAAACGATCCTCGACATATTCCGCAACCACAACCAGGTGAACGAGAACATTGTGCGGGACGCCGATGAGCGGCCGTACGATTTTATCGTGGTCGGGGCAGGCTCGGGCGGGTCGGTCGTTGCAAACAGGCTGAGCGAGAACAGCAAGTGGCGGGTCCTGCTGGTGGAGGCCGGGGGTCCCGAGGGCGTGCTCAATCAGATCCCAATGCTAGTCAGCTTTTTCCAGTTGACCGATTACAACTGGGGGTACAAAGTCGAGCCGCAATCAGGCGCCTGTCTGGGCATGAAGAATCACCAGTGCCCCTGGCCGAGGGGCAAGTGCCTCGGGGGCACCAGTACCCTCAACTATATGATACACACCAGAGGTAGGGAAATATTTACAATTATTAATTATTGAAATATACTTGAAAAGATCAAAATTTTAAAAATAAAAAAAAAATGGCAATAATATTAATACTCCCTTTCTTTGCACATTATTATTGATTGTAAACATTTAAACAATACCGCAGATTTTTTATCCATCAACATTTTTGAAACGACTCGTAACGCATTTTGCCGACCATCGATTTCTTATAACACCGGAACCCAATAATTTTCGTTAAAAAAAAAATGATAGAAAAAAAAAAAAAAAAAAACCGGCATAAATTAACAATATGAGTATTTTGTAATTGCTATCGTGGAATTATTTGAAAATGCGCAACTAAAGAAACTGCCCTTAATATTAGGAAATCGCGCCGACTACGACATCTGGGCGGCGCTCGGCAACAAAGGCTGGTCCTACGCGGACGTACTGCAGTACTTCAAGAAATCCGAAAGGTTTCGAGTACCGGGTGAGTGTATTTTTTGTTTCCTCTCCTTCCCGCACTGTTGACACTATGCGTACATATAGTGACAGGTGATTTCGTGCGCATAAATTCATACAGGTTCGACGAACCGAGCGCTTAAGTAACCTCACACTTGGGCTTGGCTATCGCGTTAGGTAACTGCATCGGTGCTCACCCGCTGATTACCCATACGAGATGGCTACGGCAGTCAATTATATATATGTACATATATATTTTTTTTTCGCGCACACCGTTTGAATGAGCAAATTGCGATTTGTCGTCTTCTCATACTAGAGACTCGTTTGGCGCGTCGTTGTGTAATTTCCGAGTAATTTCTGGCATCGCGTGCTGGTATGTGCTTATTTCGAAAACCACATGGGCGCGTGCACCGAGTTCCAAGACGTAAGAAAATGTCGTGGAGACGCATCGCTGGCAACGGGTCGGTTATTGCTTTGTTTGTATTTTTTTTTTTGTTTTCGTAACCTCTAGACTTTGTTTTAAGGTCGAGCGAGACCTTGTTCGTATGTCGTGTTTATAGGTAACCGATCAATTTCGGTGTAACGTGTCTGACAAATTATTTAGGAAATTTTTACTATTTATGGAACACGAGAATTATTCTTCACACGTTCTCTACCGAGTGACAGTGCAGATAATGAATGTTTGGTCAACATAAAAACTCCATGAATAATTGAATAAGTTTCAAATTGAGGAGAAACAGAAAAACTTGATTGGTTTAGCATTTCACTAGCTGTCAGAAATCGATAAGTTAAATGGGGGAAAAAAAAAAGAACAAAAAAAAACAGATGCATAATACCAGAGACCCGGTAAACTTTCCAAAGCGCCGAGAAAGTGAATGGCACGTGAGCAGGAGTGCACTTAAACATGTGTTTTTACAAGCTGATTATTCGCCAAGACAATATTCCCCGGTAATAAACTTTTCACGAAAGCCAACGGCTTATGGGTGTGCGCAGTTGTACTGAGTTTATGTAATTTTGCCTCTTGTAAAAGGAGCGGTCGTACGATTGATTCTTCTTTTTTAATTTTCGACAAATTGGTACCATCTATAAACTATTATTATTATTTTTTTTTTTATTGTTCACACACACGTTAAAAGGTACAAAGATAATGTAAAAATGTATATTCTGGGCGAAAACAGGCGTGAAAAACTCGTCGTATCACGGCAACAGCGGGTATCTGTGCGTCGAGCACGTGCCGTATCACACCGAGCTATCGAGCGCCTTCCTCGAGGCCGGCAAGCGCCTCGGTTACAAAGTCCTCGACTACAATGGCAAGGAGCAGATTGGCTTCTCGTACATCCAAGTGAACATGGACCGGGGCAAGCGTTGCTCGGCCACCACGTACCTACGGGTTCGCCGGCCAAACCTGCACATTTTGACCCACGCCCAGGCCACCAGAGTATTGATCGGCAAGGACAACCGAGCCTACGGGATCGAGTACATGAGACACGGCAAGCTCCAGACCGTCCGCGCGACCAAAGAGGTGATCGTGTCCGCGGGTACGATAGACAGCGCGAAGCTGCTTATGCTGTCGGGGATTGGGCCGCGCGAGCACCTCGAGTCCCTTGGAATCGAGGTCATCAGAGACTCCAAGGTGGGACACAATCTCCTGGAGCACGTGGGTTTCCTCGGGCTGACCTTTATGGTCGACAGCGGCAACCGGAGCTTGGGTCTCCTCCAGAGCAAACTCATGCGGCCGAGCGTCGCCGTGGAGTACGCCCTGCATGGTAAAGGTCTTCTCACGATACCAGGTGGCGCGGAGGCGTTGGCATTCGTTCGCACCAAGTACGCCATCGACTCGAGGCCCGACGTCGAGCTGCTCTTCGCTAGTGGCTCTTTGCACTCCGATGGCGGATTGTCGTTGCGCAAAGGACTGGGTCTGACGGACGAGCTGTACAACACCGTGTTTCGACCCATCGAGAACAAGGAGGCCTGGTCCATATGGCCCATAGGTAAATATGGCGATTCTGGCTCATCCCTTCCCCTCGTCCCTAGGGTGGTGGTGGGGGAACTTGTCGAGTTGCTGACGCAATAGTGCTTATTCTGTGCTACTTACTCAAGCACGGTCGGGCCATTGACGTGCCGGAGCTGTAACGTATAGGTATCCTCTTTTTCTCATATCTCAGCTGCATAGGCTCACGGAGCCCTACACCCGCGGGGTATACTAACTTTCTCCAGTCTATAACCCTGCAAGCTTCTTATCCAAGGCAATTATGTTGTCAGAGCTCTGGCTGTGTTCCTTTAGCCTATGCAGCTGAGATATGGAAAAGGAGGAGACATCTTGACGTTAGAGTTACAGCACGATACCATCTGAAAATACCACAAAATCCCCTTCATCAAAGTAGATCGGGCCTCCCCCACCACCACAACCCTAAGGGGAGATGGGGTCATGGGGTGAGCCAGAATCGCCGTGGTATCAACCTAATCTCTGTTTACCTACTACCGTATGTAGTTCAAAACCCGCGCAGTGTCGGTCGCATATTGCTCAAATCAAAGGACCCACTGGAGGCGCCGTTGATTCAGCCGAACTTCTTCGAGCACCCAGCTGACCTCGAGATCATCCTCGAGGGCGTGAAGCACGCGATCCGACTAGCGGGTACGGAGCCGATGGCTGCACTCGGGAGCCGGTTGAACGACCGCAAGCTCCCCGGATGCGAGAGTTTCGAGTTTGGTAGCGACGACTACTGGAGATGTGGAATTCGGACCCTACCTTCCATGATGAACCACGAGTGCTGCACCCTGAAGATGGGCCCCCACTGGGACAACCAGGCGGTCGTCGATGCCGAGCTTAGGGTCTACGGGATCAAGGGGCTCAGGGTTGCGGACGCCTCGGTCATGCCGACTATGCCGGTCGGGCATATCAACGCCGGGGTGTTTATGATCGGTGAGAAAGCCGCGGACATGATCAAGCAGGCGTGGGAAGGTGACAAAAGTGCCAAAGTGTGAATAATTTTTTACCATCTGTACTCTTGTTTTTTTTTTTTTTTTTTTTTGCAATCGTCAAAGTGGTTCAATACTGATTGCTCTGGATACCTAGTGTCTAGTTGTTTTTCACCCATAATTTCTCCAATTTTTCAAATGAAATAGCCAACACGTTTTTATATTTTCATTCGCAAATAATTGTAACTTTGAGGTAAAAACAAAATTACCTATTCCATTGACCAAAGATTGATGAAGTGTTGAGAAATTGGAATTTCATCCGTACAATGTTCCTTCGTGTTTGGCAAATCTTCAAATTCGAAAAAAAAATACTAAAAGCCATACCTGCAATATTTTGATTCAGTACTGAACCACTTTAATTATGCATGAAGATCTAAATCATTTTTGTTTTTTTTTGTTTTTTTTTCAAATTACCTTACTTACTAAAAAGTGAGATAATGCGTTTAAAAAAATTAACGTCACCTTGTTAATACAACACGGGGTAAAGATTATGTTTATGTAAAAGTGTTCCCAGTGAATTTTATTTTCTTCTGAAATGAGTTCAAGAGAGAGGAAAACAATAACTGGCCCTTACTTCTTCATTGATTGAAAAAACAAACTTCGGATAGTTTAATCTAGAGCGGTGATCTCAGCTTGACACAGATCACGCGGAATTTATACTTCGGGTTGACAACCCACCAATAGTGTAATAAACTCAAATAGGAGGTCAAGCAGTAAGTGAGATTACATCATACGTGTATAGATGGAAAAAAGCTTATGCGTTCACGTCGCGCGTGACGAGTGTAAAATTTTGTAAATATTGTTTTCGTGACTCGTAGTATGTATCAATCAGTTGCATTAATATTTAATAAAGTTTTATTTTTTATGAAAAAAAAAAAAAAATTATTATTATTTATACGACACGATACACTGATGCCAAAGGTTTAACAATACCAGTATATCACGGTTCAGAGCCCGAGGAATATATGGCCTTCAATTACTTCGACAAACCATAAGCACTTTGCGATCCTAATGATGGTGTAAGTTTTTTTTTTTTTTTAAGGGCAACTCGATCGACTTTCAATTCACGAGAGCTCCGCTGCAACAGCGGGGCACGAGGGGTTGCAAGTTGAAAGAGGAAAACAAAAGAGAAAGATACTCAGCAAATTACATTTCCCGTCTAATTGGAGTGTTCGCTCGAGCGACAGCATCAGGGAAGGACGCGCCTACCCCATTATACTGTATACGTATACGTATACCTACAATATAAGAGAGGAGAGAGAATGTTTATAAAATCTGTGGTGGGTAAGCACCATCCCCTTTCTCGTCGCCCCTACCCTACATGTTGGGTTTTTTCCACCATTCGGAAGGATGAGTCAAAGGCGCGCGCCTGGCGTCTTTGCTTTCATCTCCCTCGGACATTTCGCATGCACATATATATGTATGTTGGTACACCTACATGCAGTGATACAAGAACCATATGTACCACAGACTCCAGAAATTCTCGTTCTCGTATAAGCCATCAATATATTTATTGTTCTGAAATGTGTACTTAGAGGTATATGCGTATCAGTCATGGTATAGATGCACGAGCACAGTATACGCCTCTCGTATTACACGTATATAGGCGTCGGCCGAAATACTTAGGTTAGAAAGCGATAAACCCGAGAAATAGCGCAAAAGGTCCAGGAGATGCTGGATATAGTAAAACGGGGGATGGAAATGTAAAGTTGAGAAAAAACATTCTGTAAGATAGAGTGCAAGTACACATTTTTGTGTCCTTACCTGACACGACGAGCGCCTCGTTAGGTCCGCAGGTGTGTACGTTGCCCATGATGGCTCTGTGTGCGTAGGTACGTGTACAGCTTCTTGAAAATAATCTTGAAGTTCGGACGGAAAAGCAAGAAAAGGGGGACAAAAAAAAAGGAAAATAACTGAGAATAGAAAGAAAAAAAGAAAACACGTAACGACAACCACACGCGCACTTGTGACGGCACACACTGACTGTATATTAGAGTTATTGCCGGCACCCAGGACTCGCTCTTCCAAGGCTATATATTATACTCTCCGTATTATTATTAATCCGAACTTTTGACGCACGGTCTTTATCGTCATTTGGCTTGGACTTTCAGAAAGACCAAAGTACACACACACGCGCGCGCGCACACACGAGCACGTGAAACTTTAAATGCATCGATACATGTATATATTCGCTCTATCGCACCACCCGCACTCCTGCAGATTTTATCAAACGAGCCGCACGCTGTACGACGATGACGAGTTTACCGTATACCTTTATTTTCAAGCAAGGAGATTGCAAGGGTTGGCGAGGAAAAAAAGTGAGAGAGAGAGCCGGGTTGTGTATTTACTCAGCCTTTTTTTTTTTTTATACACGATATTGCAAAAATATATATATTTATATATTTGCTTGTAAAATCGTCTGCTACTTTTTGATGTAATACGCACGAGAGGGGGTGTGTGGAGGAGTTCTCGAGCTTTTGCTTTTTGGAGCTATGCTCCGGGGGGGATGGAGGTCAGGCTAAAACCGACGACGAGTAGTCGACGACACTCGCGTCACTCGCTCTCGGCTCGCACAACACCCCGACTTCGTACGCTACACACTATCCATCCCTATTCCATCCCTATCCATCCGCCCGTCTATGACGTAGCACCGTATACATTTGTGGTATACCTATATATCTAAAGCACGCACGCGCCCAGAGAGAACTCCCTGAGTGGGGTGATGGACAGCCAACCCCCCCCAACCCCGTGAATCCCCGAGAGCTACCCTTACACGAAGTCCAAGCGCACATACAGATATACTTGATGTGGAGATCAGCTCCCCCTCGGCCCTTCCTGAACGCGTCCCTGTATGTACGTGTACGTACAGCGAGAACTATATTTTTTCTCTCTTTTCTCCCTGTAGCATATAGGATCTGGTGTACATAATAAATTTTACATGTAGACAATAAGTGCTCCCCCTTTTTGCGTCATCTTTGCCGGCACGTGATATAAGCCATATGTAACTGACAAGGCTCTCTGTTAAAAATCTGAAAAAATTAAGCTGCCAAGGTATAAAGTTATGCGCAGGCATAAATGCGAACGTTATGCCATACGCAGTAAATCTTCGCTGGCTTAAGTTGATAATTTCGCAAAATTTACATTAAAATTTCTGCGTTTATCAAACGCTGCGTTGCTATGTATACAGTACTTTCTACGCGATTTGTGAGGGCGCGAAGTTGCCGGTGATACAGGAAATCACTTTGTTGTTCATGTACTTACAAAGAAAATGGTAATGAAAACTTGCCAGGAAGTAATGGTGTAATTATTTACAATAAAATATTCTACGATTTTGAAGCATATTTATAGTTGTAGATACAATATCATATGTATATATGTATTTGGTTGCATATCAAAAGCTTTTTTTTATACAAATCGGTTTCTATTCATTAATAAAGAGGATACATTTAAAATGGGGAGAGAAAAATAAATGTTTAGTCTAGCCAACTTTCCATAGTAATATTATCAAAACATTTTCAAAAAACCTGTATAACTGAATAATTAATCAGATAACAGAAAGAAATAAGGAAATAAAAACTGTGAATGTAACCATTGAATTCTGAATTAACAAAAAATATTTGGAATTTCGTATTGGGAATTTTGTATTGCAAAAGAAAGTCGAAATAAAGTTAGAAATAAGCATAATATTTTTATACACATTAAATAAAATAGCGTTTACATTAGTGATACGAATTTTAAATTCTTTTTCACAACAAATAAATTTTATTTAATAGTTTTGTAAAAAATAATTGACCAACCAGAAAACAGAATTTTTTGATAAATCCGTTGATTTATTTAATATTTAATACACTTGTTTTAATGCAATCGATTAAAAAATCAGTTCTGATCCGTCACTGGATCAATTGTGTCTCCACCACGAATCTGGCCCCATCCGATAAGACGCCAGTGTTTTTCTACTCTTCTGGATAGTGCAATCTTTTCATCAATTTCTGTACACACAGGATTGCTAAGACTAATCTTGGCAAGATCAGCTTTTGTTGCTAGGACACGTCCACCAGTACTGAGAGATCCAATATTCACTAAAAGTACCTCATTTTTGGACAATTTGGGAACCTTGGCTCCTTTCTTGTCGCCCTCAGTCCTCACACCCAGTAAACGCTTGAGCAAGTAGTAGGATATTTCCAACTCAATGAATATCTTGGGCAATGCTCCAACTGCTCCAAGAATCTGACCAACCAAACGATCTGCCCTGCAGAGTGTGGGCTCAATTTTTGTTCCAACACCAATAAGGCCACCAGGAACAGCAAACTGCAGCTCGTTCTGTTCAGCAAAGAGCGAAACGATACGTGAGTAGATGGGCTTGCAAGTGAGCTTTCCCTCGCTGTCCTTTGACACAAGACCTGGCCTGACTTCGATCTCCATGCCGACCTTCAGCACACCTTTGAGAATACTACCACCAGCTACGCCACCTTTCAGATCGTCGACCTCGCAACCTGGCTTGTTTACGTCGAAAGAACGAATGACAATGAGCCTAGGCTCAGAGGTGAAGTCACGTATAGGCACAGGGATCTTTTTGGTGATGTATTCGCAGAGAACTTCTATGTTGTACTTTAGCTGAGCTGAAATGGGGATGACTGGAGCACCTTCTGCCACAGTACCTTGTACAAACTTGAGGATCTGATCGTACTGTTCTTTGGCTTGGCCCTCCTTGACCAGATCAATTTTGTTCTGCAAGATAACAATGTGCTTGAGTTTCATGATCTCGATGGCAGCGAGATGCTCCGAAGTTTGGGGCTGTGGACAGGACTCATTGCCAGCAATGAGGAGAAGAGCGGCATCCATGACAGCCGCGCCGTTGAGCATAGTCGCCATAAGAATGTCGTGACCGGGACAGTCTACAAAGGACACGTGGCGCACGAGCTGGAATCTGCCGGAGCATGCCGGTCTCAGGCAGGGGAAGGAGTCATCTTTGCTCGAGCCACCGCTGATGTAGCAGGCGGGCCTCGGACACTTTTCGTTGTCACATTTGTATATCTTGGCGTTGGCGTAGCCGAGCTTGATCGTGATGTTACGCTCGAGCTCGTTCTTGAAGCGTACAGTCTGCACACCTGAGATAGCCTTGACGATCGTCGACTTGCCGTGAGCTACGTGGCCGATCGTGCCAATGTTGATTGTGGCCTGACGGCTAATAACCTCCTTGGAGAGGGCCGTGAGCTTTGTAACGTCGAGTTTGTCCAGATCCTGCTTTTGTAGGTTAGGCTGACCTCCTCCAGTGGTTGGCGTTGACGACGACGTCGTCGTCGTTGTAGTCGTCGCCGCCGTCGTCTGCGTTACGGTCACGTTCGTCTCCTCTACACCCATGATTATGCTACTAATTTGACACTTGCACTTGCACTGTTTTTTTCGACGTACTTATCCCAATTTATTTCGCTAGGATGAGCAGAACTTGGCATTTAGGATGCCGTTAACTTGACGCGTTTCTAACCTATCGACAAGCCAGATATCTTTTTGTGACAACGGGCTCGTGGCGCGGCAGCGGAGTAGACTTGCATCATGTATACAGTAAAGGTGGATTTCCACACAACTCTCCCTGGCTCATTGGCCGGGCAAGTCGGAAATGGAAACTTGAAGTGATTTGAAATTACCCTTTTTGTGCCGCGTGACTGTGTGACGTCAGTGTATAATATATATATACACATATATTTTATTTTCTATCTTCATTTAACTCACTGCATGATTTTCCATTTTCATTCAATTGAATTTAATTGAGAGCATTTTCGTGAATATGTTTGTGTTTTTATCTCTCACTCACACACCGCCACGACCAAAAAGATTTTGTTACCGGCACCTAAAAAAGTCCGTCAATAAGCAGAAAATTTAAAAAACTTTACTGATTTTTCGGTACCTAAATACGCGATCTTTCAACCACTCGAGAGTTCTGATTTTGCCATCCCATTTGTTATTTATTAACAAAATGCTCGCAATAATAAAACTCAGTTTGCTTAGGGTCGTTGTGCAAAATCAATATGGATCATCATTAGGGCAAGAGGGACTTTTGAACATTTCGCTCGAATAAATGAAATCGCTGAAATATTAAACAAATATAATTGTTTTTTTTTTTTCCTATACCTTTGGTGATTTTTTTTTGTTCACCAGCGCGCTCAGTATGAGAAAAATACGGGTCCTTTATTTATAGTGCCTGACTCCAGAAAAGCAAAGAGAGCACCGCTTTTACTTACCCGTCCTAGTTTGTATGTGTTTACGAGCTTGAACCAAAAAGAAGCCTCAGATCGACCATTTGTATTTAAAGTTTCAAAGTAACCGCGAATGAATATGTAACTTCGATTGATAAAACAATTCAGGTTTTTGATACAAAGTTCCATCGGTACTGTGTATCTTTGACTGTACTTTTCGACATGATAAGTTTTTGTTAAGTATCTATACATACGGTTTTTAAGATATGGGCATAAAAATGTCGAATAGGTCTTTGGAAACTTCACTACAGCCAATGAAGATTTCTATATGCAACTACCTTTTTTGTCGATCAAATTTTACAATTTGATTTTACAGAAATTAATAATTATTAATATCCTTATGGCGTTGGAACACGTTTTTGGCAGTCTTGAAATTTACCGATAGAGAACTTGTGTGTAAATAATTAATATTGTCATGAGACATTATTGGGTAAAAGTAATTTTATGTAAACTGTATGATCTATTATTTGAATGAAAAAAAAAAACTATATTGATTATAATTTAGATGTGTGACGTAATACCACACCTACCACACCTTTGATTGCTAATAGTATATACATTTTTTAATGAAGATTTTTACGTGACTCAGTGCACTTGAAAAAAGTGGTGTTGCGGAATACCCAAATATCGCATGACATCAGCTTTGAACAAATATTAACAAAAAGATGAGATATTGTTAATTACACAACTTGGGGCTCTGTGTTAGTTATTTGTTTCATAACACGTGTTAATTGAATGAGCTTTGACGCGTCATGTCATGCATAATTGAAAAACTTTGTGGATTACCTCATATTTTAGTTGCTGTTTGACAAAGCCCAAAAAAAAAAAAAAAAAAATGAGGTCACTGAAAATTAAATAGCACCTGCTGATAAAGTTTATTGAAAATGAATTATTTTTAACACGTGCATTATATAAGTCCAACTTCTTTGTACCTCATATTCATTTTCGTGTTGGGCAGCTTTATTGAAAGAATCATCGGCAGCAGGATGAGATTCGGTAAAATTTTCCACTTATTCTTTATAATTTTTCTCTTTTTACGAGTTTTTGTTTGTCCATTATAGATAAATCTCGCGATGTCACTATTGTTGTAATGAATGTATAATTACTCTCAGAGAAGCGTTCACGAAATTTGTTGTATTTTTATTTATTTTGTTTATTTGCAAAAGATTCGCGTGCCCTGGACATTGTCACGTATATAGAGATTTTACAAAAAAATTGATTCACCGTTTCAGGACTAATCGTCGCCACGGCAATCTTGTGCACTGCCGGAGTTTATTCCAGCGATCGCAGTGACACTGAAGCAGCCCTCAGGAGCATTATAAATTTCGACAACTCAGTTTACGAGGTTTTTATGCATTCGATTTTGATCGTGTACAATATAAACGTGCCATTGTTTAAATCACATCGGGATTTTTCTACGATTACAGAAACTTTCCAGGGATAAACAAACGGAAAACCTCATAGTTTCGCCGTTGAGTGCCCACTTTCTTCTAACACTCATAGCCAATGGGGCGAAAGGTGTAACATTCAACGAACTAAACAATGCACTCCATCTGAATAATAAAGCGTACGAAGCTGCGCACGGCTACAAACTGGCGCTGTTGAACAGATTAAGGGTAAAACATAGTTTGTACCTTTCTTTTATTGATGAGCAATAACAAGTATAAAAAAAAAAAAAAGAAAAAAGAAAAAAGAAAAATAGTAATAATCGTTCTTTAGAACATCGAAAATGCCACCTTCGACTTTGCCAATCGCATTTACGCCAGGGGTAACTTGAAATTGGAAGATTCGTTCAAACAGTTCGTTGATCGCATCGATTCAGGGGCTCTCCAGAAATTCAACGATCCATATTCCACTATCGAAGAAATCAACAAATGGGTCAAACAAACGACCCATGGAAAAATCCACGGAGTCATCAAGGACGGTACGTTGGCCGAATTCATCCGTGTGATTTGTTGATCAAACGTTTGATCGATTTTGTCGGTAATTCTAGGTGACTTTAATGACAACACGATAATGGTTCTTCTGAATGCCATTTATTTCAAAGCCAATTGGGAACGAAAGTTCGACAAACAAGAGACGTCTCTCGAAAAGTTTCACACTCCTAGCGGGACAAAGGCAGTGAATACCATGAAAGTCAAGGGAAAATTCATCTGTCAGAGAATTGACAAACCCGATGCCTACTACATTGAGCTCCCGTACACGGTAATTACATCGCCTTACATATATACGACCAGTAATTTATATTGGTATGTTTGTTTGATCGAGACGTATACGTCTGATGATTGTAGGCCAGGAAGTTGAAAATGGTTATTGTGATGCCGAAAAATACCGACAAGTTAGCCGAAGCTGCAGAGTTTGTCAAGCGCAACGGTAATTATCACTTTTACGGTGAAGAGGAGGTCAATCTGTCCTTACCAAAGTTCAAAATTGAAAGCGAAATCAACTTTAAACCAATTTTGGAGCACGTAAGTCTATGGAAAAACGATTTTTTTTTTTTTTTTTTTTTTTTTTTTTCCCAACCGATCGGTGTTTGTCAAGATGTATTATCATTTTTACAGTTGAAGGTCAAGAGTCTTTTCACACAAATGGCCGAACTAGGTGGTATCGCCAAAGAAAAACTGTTCGTTAGTAGCATTAAGCAAAAAGCTTTCATCGAAGTTGACGAGGAAGGAAGCGAGGCAGCAGCTGTTACTAGTACGTTGACTATTACCAAACTATTGGTCTAAATTTATTTTAGCACCATTGATAGTTAAAAAAAAAAAAAAGAATGGGGTTTTATTATTTTTTTCATTTCCAGAATCTGAATTAGAGAACAGATTTGGCGATGATCCTCTATATTTGGACATAAACAGGCCTTTCTACTTCGCAATCCAGTATCAAGGGCTAGTTCTGTTTGAAGGACACGTTGTCGACCCATAAGGCCGCATGTTATTTATTTTACCTCACATGTTATATCCCACCTTTTCCCGAATTGACCCAAAGCGTCCCGAGAGAAACTTCATGGAAAACATCCCTTGATGCAAAAAAAAAAAAAAATAATAATAATAATCTTTACCAGGACGAGACGCGAAGTTTAGATACAAGTCTGGAAATATCTACGAGTTCACCCCCAACCAGGAGTCAAACCCACGCTCTGTTTGAGCATTCGTACATTAGTTTTATTACCGTTTGAGTCAACTGGATTACCAGACGTATTTTTTACTTTTTACAATTTTAATAGCACCAGTAGAAAAAAAGTGCGAGCAATAAAAGTTTATTTCTGGTAAATACAATTTGTTTTCTTAAATGACGCATCAAAGCATAGATACATCTGTTTTTATTTTTAAAGTAATATTTTCAAGTTTTTTTTGCTCAATATTGAAGTTTGAGGTTTTCCAAGCATGTTATTACGAAAAAAAAAAAAAAAAAAATTGATATACCAAGTTTTAAAAACTTACAACTAATCATCGTCAAGGATTTCACGGTAAATTTTTGCAAATGGTCGTTTGTGAAGAACATGTATTTTCACGTGATCATTGATAAATGATAAAAAAATCGTACTGTCTTTTTACTTAATTTTATTGTATGTAAATACAAAGAATAAGGCACATAATGGTTTCGAGGAATTAACTTATACTACATGATTGGCACTTTTTATTCTTGAACATAAGTCAAGCAGTCAAATAATGTAAATCACATTTTATAGCTCAGTAATATTATGTAAGAACAAAAAGAAAATAAAAAATAAAAGAGTTACCTGACTGATTACAAGAAAAATAATCGTATTTATTTTTAATTGTCGAGATATAATTTTTTGTTTTTTGACTCTTAACATTCCAATTTTCGGGAAAAAAAAAAAAAAACAATTTCAATTAATCAAACACCTTAACGGGAAGCAATTTGCAGGAATTACCTGACATAATATCTTTTATAAGACCAATTTTTTAGGTAATAAATTCTTGAGATCATTCTTTCTTAGTCATAATTAACTTATGCAATTAATGCATAGAAATTCTTAAGACTACTGATACTATTTGTTGAGCTGACATGGAAGACCATATTATTAAAAGCATACATCATCGTTACTTTATCGAATCTATGCAAAAAAGCTTATGAGTGTTAATGTAACGAATAATAACAGAGATTCTAATAAAATATAATTACCATCTCTTGTAATGATGATACATATGTATAGATATTCATATAACTAAATATCATTACTTAAGCCTACGTAATATAAACTATATCAGATCTACAACGTAAAATAAGTCCTGTTTTGGAATGAATCCTATGACTTTTAAGATATAATGATATATAGTGATTTCATAAAATAAAAGTGCAAAAGTTGTCAAAAATTAGAGATGGAAAAAAAAGACGTGGTGCAAAAAATTTTGGCTATGACGGAGCCACATGAATTTACAAAATAATCATTCATATTAACAAAAATTTCATTGTAAGCAACCACATGCGAGTTTTTTTTAAGTATCGTTTAATAAGTTGAAGTCTTAACTGATGATGCAATTCTGTTTGCTGCCAATATTTGTGAGTGAATTCTTGCGCGAGCTCTGCATGCTCATTGTCGTATCTAAAAACTCCTCGTCATTGTCAGAATCTGTATCTTTGTTCAATTTGGCCTTAGACTCTTGCACATAATGCTCAATGACGTCGCTTTGAGGTAATAATACTTGACCGTTTTGCAAAATAAATGGAAGACTCTGACCGGGTTGTAGCTTCATTTGTTTTTGAATATAAAAGTGGCGCAGTTCCTCCAAAGGATCGTTTGAATCATGAGTGAAGTTATCTTTGTTCAGTGCATTATCAAATACAAAGCCTACGCGCTTTTCCAAATCCCCTTGAATTTGCTGCCGACGTGGTACATCGTTGTTGTTTTCAGCGTATAAAAGTTCAGTGGTAAAACCCATTGTGCGCGGTGGTTTTGGAGGTTGATTGTAAGAGCGTCGACTAGCAATATCCTTGGCTACTGCATTATAGGTATCAGAAGTTGGTTGCCCACCGTATGAGTAACGCTCCTGCAACCACTCGAGAGTTTTGATTTTGCCATCGACTTCTTGTTTATTTGCAAAATGCTCGCGATTATCTAACTCGGTTTCCTTAGGGTTGTTGCGCAAAGTCACTGGATCATAATTAGGGCATGATGACTTCTGAACATTTCCTAAATTAATGAAATCATTGGGAATTAATCATAAATACTATCGTTCCGTTTATTAATAAAGTACATGCACAAATAGTGTTTACATGCTTTGGAATATTGTTATTCTTTTAATCACTATGTTTTTCGTGATTGTAGCTGAAAAATTTAAAAACAATAACAATAAAAATTAATAAGACTGGAGATAAATTACCGATGCCCGTTCGCAAGTTTAGATCTTTGCGGTGGATCGTATGATTTTCACCAGCTGCATTTCTCCAACGCGCGCTATTCATAACCAACTGAGCCAGTTGTTGTATCGTTTGCCTAGGTTCATTCGTCTCGACAAGATCGCGTCTCGGAACTGAAACCGGCTTGGCCGGTGTCGACGAGTCTCGCGAGTCACCCAGTAGCTTGTCACGGCCGCCGTTAAGCTGCTTCAAACGCTCGTAGCTATCACCCTGACCAGAGAGTAGAACATCCTCGTCGTTATTGTTGAGCTTAGCTGTGAAATAAATCAGGCGATATTAACTCTGGAGTGCTTACTACATAATCAAGAGCAAACTTACCGTTGTTGTTCAAGTTGTCTTCGTAGCGTCGTTCAGCGAGTCTTGCGCGAGCATCAACTTGTCTTTCAAATTGTTTTTGGCGCAGCCAATTCTGTCGGGCGCTTTCATAAATTTCAGCCGACTGAATTTCAGCGTCGAGAAAAGCAGCAGTGAGGATAATCGCGGCATTAGGCTCGCGTTGCGTAAAAAGCCGACGTCGTGACTGCAAATCTTGATTCATTAATGCCTTTAGACGTGCGTTTTCTACAACCTCTTGTACATGACGTTCGGATTCGAGAAAGTTGTTTGTTTCAAAAATAAGAGTCTTCATGTCCATTCCTGTGTCAAATCCTTTAACGATTCGCCGTTCGGCGGATGATTGAGTGCGCACGTCGTTGCCCTGTAAATTTGATACCATTTTTTTAAAGAATTTTTAATACCCGTCGGTATCTTTTGTACATGACGGACCGAAATAGTCTTGTTGCATAACATAAAGAAAAATATTCGTCCAAGAATTTAACGCGGTCGTGTTAATTATCGATAAACAAACAACGTCTAATGATACTTAATTACATTAGCCTTAATTAGCACATTTACTCAGATAAATCAGATCAGTGGTATTATTTTAAAAACTAATACATCAATTGCCTTGAAAATAAATTATCTTACCACTGCGTTTATCGGCTTACAACCAAGCTGCTGCTGGGCGCGTACAAAGGGCGAGGTAGAAACGGGCCCCAGCTTTTGCCAAATGGCACCAACGCGTCTTGATGGACTCATAACTGGAGAAACAACGCCAGGTCTTGTTGCAGCCATTGTTACAGTATTCATTGGTTGGCCAGTGCCAACTGAGGCCGTGCAAGGTACACGGCAAGGCTTAGGTGGCACAAGATCGAGTTTGGGTGGCTGAGTGCCGGGTTTCGGTGGAGGCAGTAAATTTGTGATCACTGGTTCTGAAGGAGGTGGTTGTATGTCGGCCGAGTTTTGATCGCTGTTACCGCTTTTATTAAGTACAGCGTGTTGGACGACGTCTAATAAATGATCGATGCGCGTTTCCAACCGATTCTGACGATCGCGGTCCAGATCGAGAACGCGACTAACCATGTCGTTCTGTGCCGCCAGGATCTAATATTGTTTAAAGTTTAAGTAAAAATTGTTATAAAAAGCTAACAAGGTTGTACTTTAAAAAAAAAAAAAAAAAAAATTACCTTATTGACAACTTCAGTTTGTGAATTAATTGCATTCATCATCAGTCTTTCCAACTTCTCTGCCTTCTTTTTTCTAAATGGAGCACTGGGAACTTCTTCCGTATTCACAGCAAAATCTTTCAGTTTTACTGGCTCTTCATCTGGTGATGGTGAATCTTGCAAAAACTCAATGGAAATGGTATCATCATTAAATGTCGCGTTATTTGTTATAGTTGTAATATCATGATTAGCTGTATTCAACTGATTGGATGCAGTTTGTGCATATGGCTCGGTCATTACGTTGCCCTTGTCAGGTTTTTGTTGGTAAAATGCGTCATTCAAATTTGGTGGTAAGTCGGGAGAAATACTTGGAGACAAAAATCCCACTTGATTCAAATTCGGGTTGTAATTTTGCAAGTTGACATCTTGAAACTGTCGATAATTAGCAGCCAAATTCTGTCTGAAATTTTTCTTGGGCTCTTGAGGTTGTGCTCTGTTATTAGCAGAATTTAATTGACAATTGTTTTGCTGTATTCTCAGGGCATTATCAATCATGCCGTTCTGCTGCCCTAGACCTATTTGGGCCATTTGCCCCGAGCAGTACGTTACTCCTTGGTCAGCGTACAGTCCTTGATTTGCATTCTGAATATTTTGTCTCAATACATTGGCATTCATCTGTAAACGATTTTGCTCCAGTACTTGATTTTGCAGCATGTTTTGTTGTAAAATTGCTTGATTCTGTTGCATGTTTTCTTGAATGATCTGATTTTGTACATTTTGTACCGTATTTTGGAATGGTACGTCATTAAAGTAATTATTGGAATAAGTACTCTGTCGGTAGGTCTCTTTGATCGGTATCTCTTCTATGACAGCATTATGTAGTAAGATTTTTTTGTTAGTGTTGACAAGTTGCTGCTGAGTTGTGTTTGTGGCTGCATCTCTAACTGGAGAAAAGACTCTAAAAGGTTGAGCCAATACTGTCTCACTCGATTCTGGAGAATCTGGATAATTTTCAGATCCTATGGTTAAAAACAACAAAACATTTATAAGCTACGAATCAATTGAAAAACACAACACCTTGGCAAATACTTACCTCTGCTCCAGACAGGTGACAGAGCTTCCGTTCTGTAAATAGACTCAGCTGGCTGTTGATACTTAAAACGCATCTGAAGATTTTTATTGGTTTTGACCTCCTTAGGAGGAGACTTGACATTGACAACGGAATCTAGAAGGATATAAAATTCTTTGTAGAATAGAAAAACCAAAGGAAAAACAAATAACATAATCAACAAAATGACGGACCAACAGTGTCGATACCAACGTTGTTGTTGTTACAATTGGCGTTAATTTGTTCGAGCCTCTTCAATTTGAGCACCTTGTCGATGGACTCGTAATACTGTTCCACTCCAGCTCTAGTGCTGGATTTTTTAGCCTCCTTGTAGCAGACGAGGACTTGCTTCATGCGCGATCGGCACTGTTTGCCGGTCACGCCGTAACCTTTCTTGTTCATGTAACGAGCTACGCTCTCCCATATCAATTGCGGCTTACTCGAGTACTCGAGTTGTTTTTGCACCTGTTTGTCCGTCCAGACGGACACTAGTAGGGTCGTGCTCTCCGGCGTCCACTTGTACTTGTACTCACTACCCTCGCTCATATTTTCCAATTTAAATTCTCTCTGTACTTACTATATAAACACCGTACTGAAAGTAATGGTAATTATAAAAATAATTCACGCACATGAAAGTAAGTATTTTCATTAATTGTTATCGTGCGGACAATGCTTACACACGTAAATATATTGAAATGCATAATATACAAGGATAAAAATAAAATGTAAGTATGTATATAAGATGAGCTTACCACCTTACCATGCAGGTATAAAAACGAGTCGTCGAGTCGGGCATTTAATCCCCTCTACGCATGTAGGTATTGTATATACATGTATTATTATTTTTTTGGTCCATGCAACATCAGGGCAGCAGCCGAGCTAGCAGCGTCGTCACAGGATCACGCAGCAACAGTTGGTTGGACGTGCTTTATATAACAAAATATATATATCTATACACGTTATATGAAACTCTTTTGGACATTGTATACTTGAACAGTAATTTTTTATTATTACATGCCTTATTATTAATTACTATTATTATGTATGTATGTACCTAAGTAGTAGGAAGATCAATTCAAATGGCCATGCGACACACGATATGATGGTACGAGAGACTTGGTGAACGACGGTTGGAAATCTCATACGCTCGTCTCACCGGGCTCGTGCACTTTAACAAAATCTCAGTTGCACTATAAAACCACTTCCCCCATCTCCTACACTTTCCACTACTTTATTGAGCATGAGAGAGAGAGCACGCCCACTCACAAAGCAAAGTCGCCAACGTGTTTTGCTTCGTGTCACTGTATATGTATTTGTATTCTTGTATTTAAAGAGGATATAACGTACAGCATGCAGAGGTTCAGAATTTCAGATGAGGACTGTAAGAGAGTATAGAGAGAACGGAGGAGAAGAGGAGAGTTTTATCTCCCTCTTTGGTTCGTATGGGTACTCCCACTCCCATCTTCGAGAGCGTGGGATCGTGTGTGCGGGGGGACTGCAGGGGCAGTGCAGCTAGCTATAGGGTGACTTTGTATATATATTTGTATTGCATACAGGATGCTGGGATGCTGCGGCGTAATTATTTGCTGTGTACTTACAATGCAGCCTGTTATCTGTTATCTGTGTATAGTATTGCAAACAGTGCACCCAATTATTATTATTATTTTTCCCTATACCTTTGTTTTAAATACTTGTTGTACACACAGAATTACGTTTGCAATACACCTTCAAGTGAATTTCAATTTTTAATAAGAATTTCGTAATCAGCAAAATACTATCTATATAACAACGAATATAGCGTCTATCGTCTATAACTATACTTGTAAAAACAAAAACTGATGAGCTCTTACCTTTTATACTTATATAGCAGATCGCCGACCTATTGTATGTACAGCAGAAGCTGAAGTAATTTTGCCTCGAATTTTGCTACGTTTTTTCGGTGACTTTGACTCTCTTATTATTGTTTGTAAATAATCGTTTCGGAAGACTCACCTTTCACGCTTTCTATCACATACCGTGTCAAGCGCGATTATGTAATATAAATATATATATCTGAAGTTTCGTTGAAATTTTAATTTAATACTGTTCTTATTTTTTAATAACTTGTGCTTATGAAAGTAATAAAAATATATAGTATTATTCGGCATTTGTGTAAAAGCTATTACATCTATGTAAATGTGTATATTTTAGATCTACATTCAAAGTTAAGATAAATGATTATTTTCAGTGTAAGTTCATTAAGAGGAAATATGTTTGGTGTGCTGCAATGCCTTATGATTAAAATCTCCCCGCAAAGATTGAGCGCAGTTATGCACTGCCTAATACGTATTCTTGGGACAACAACCTGACTTACTTGCTTACGTCTCATAATTGTGTGCGCATATATACAGTTTACAGTGATGAAGCATATGTATACTTTTAATGACAAATGACTTTCTTGATGAATTCGTGATTGTTCATTCTCGTGTCTTCATCATCGCGAGTTCGCTGCACACGTACTCGTGCACTTTTTTTTTCATCATGTGTTTTATTTACTTGATTTAAGTGGTCTTTTTCACGTGTATATGTTGCACGAAATAACATTAGTATTCCACTACCAATAAGAATCGTCTTTTCAAGTAATCCAACGAAAATTGAAATCTATCTCCGTTTATTTGCTCACTTGATATTTTCTCCAATTTAAATCACATGAATTCGATCTTCAGCTATAGTTTAGCATCGGTTAGAGATAAAGAAAACAATGCTTATTTAAATAATACAATACTTGTTCACATGGCTTTTTCTTGAGAAAAAAAAAACAGCGAAAAGTACAGTGTCTTCGAAAACGCGTCACGTAACCTTACCTTTTAAATTTCTCCGCCACGTAGCTCTCGTGTTGTGATTCGTCGACTAACCAGCAGAATTGCCCAATCAGATCGACAGAATTGACTCTCACCTCCCTCCCTCCGACGCAACCACACACTTCCCCACCTTCTCGTTTTAAGAGGAGGAGACTCCCTCTCTCTCTCTCTCTGTGTGTGAGAGAGAGAGATCTTTTTTTTTGTTTTGTTTTTTATTTGATATTTTTTTTTTCTCAATGAAATAAATAAACGTAAGAAAAAGTGAAGAGCCATAAGTGACCGTTGGCGTGACGCTTTGATAAGAATGCATTGCATAACTCCAGCAACGAACGGAAAAGTGCCTATGAAGCTCTGCTACATAACCTGTAGAATCAGCTCTTCTAAAAAATTAACGAACCAACAAATCTTCGGACGCAACAATTAGTGTATTTTGAAAGACTTGTGCCTTAAATAATTTTTGCGAATGTGACATGTAAATGTGCGAAAGATATGCTGGTGCTAGCAGTACGTACCTATATAGTTTAGGTATTGTATGGAAGCTTTATTACATACATACGCGAAGTTGTATGTATGTACCTAACTAAAAACGTGCCTTATTTTTTACCATCGTTGTCAATGAAATGGATTATAATCGTATTTAGTTATTCGTTTAATTGAGAGGACGAACGAGATAACCAAAAATTTACACTGAGAATATGGGTAAGGAGTTGTAATCTTTGTTTACTTTCTAGTGTTTGTTTATTTTTAGTTCTCCCAAAAGTGAGTTAGGAATATAAGAGATTTCGAGGATGACAAAGATGCTGGGGCCTTGATCTCGTTTCCATATATTTTATATGTTCTTGCTGTAGAGCTATATAGTTTAAATCTTGCTTTTTAATATTAAACTTATAGCATTATAAGTACAGCTGTTAAGATAATATTAGATAATATTTTGCAACTCACGCTTAACTTTCATTTATAAGCATTGTATTATTTGTATTTGTTTCATGATAAAATACAGTGATGGCAGGTATTGAGGGCGTGTCTGGGCCAGCAATAACAGACGAGTCCCTGTCAAATAAGCTACAGTGGCTGCGTCAGCGTAGAGAGGCTCTAGAGGATAAGCTTGCCCAGAAGAATAGTGAATTAAAAAGTTTGTGCATAGAAGAGGCTGAGCTCACTGGAGTGTTGCCACCTGAAATTCCTTTGGAGCCTGGTGAAAGTCCACCATGCATCAGAAAAAGAGCTAGTACTTCTATCAACTATCCTCAGAATTTTATTAATAAACTGAAAACTAATCGAGTGGTGAGAATAACTTTGTTTTTTTTTTTTTAAGACTGAAACTGCTAGACTATAAAATTTTGTCTGTTTTAATAGGAGGAATCTGCTTTGGAAGTTGAGAGACAGGTGCAAATAAACATAGCAGAATCTGCACTAGCCATTTTAAATGACCCATCCGAAAGCAAGGTTGTGAGGCGCAAACAGCGCGCGATATACCAACAGAGTCAGAGAAGGCTACAAGAATTGAACGCTCAGTTGAATTTCATAAGACAGAGTCATGGAAGTGGATCCAGAAGTCAGTTGTCTCACTCTTCATTGCACGGTTCTCAACAACATTTGCAAACTGCAACAAAGCATAGGACGAAAAAGCTTCGACCTCCATTGGATAGTCAAGGTAAGTGAAAATTTATTTGAGAATAATTAATAAATTATTTAACTAATAACTTATTAAATATGGTGTTAAGGAAAAGACTTGAGCCCAATGATGGAATCTCGAGGTTTACTACAGGAGGGTGGTATAAGTTTGAGTCCTCTTGGGCCTGAACACAATTACAACACATATACGAATTTCGATCTCCAGGATGTAGTTAGCGTTGCTCACGGCTATGGACAACCCGGTAGTTCCTTACCTCATAACAGAGCGACTTACCATGCGCCCAGTCCCGTTGAACAACACAGCAAGCAACGATTAACTGGAAAATTTTCCGAACACGAGCTAATTAACAACAACCTGTTTGTAAGCCCGGATCAGTTTCGAGGTCGAGCATATTCACAAGGTGGTAACAGCAGCGGAGGTAGTAGCGTTAGTCCTCATCATTTCAGTACTCAAGAGCGACCATGCCGTTACTTACCGAATACATATACCGAGGAAGAACGTCAAATGCATTATAGGCAAATGAAGCTTAGACGACAGGAGGCTCACGAAGAGATGCTGAAAAATCAACAGTATTCAGATCCGAGATATTCAGATAATGTAGAAGCGCACCGCAGGTCAGCTCAGATTGTTTATCATGAGACCGACTCCAATTCTCTGCGCTTTGAGCTACAGCCGCACGATTACCCGGTTCACTATAATCATGGTATGCTTATTATTAATGTGTAGTAAAATAAATAAAGTCAACGTTAACAAATTTTTTTTCACAGCCAAGCCCCAACCACCAGGAATCCTCAGACCACGAGATAGTGTTGACAATGTGATGCAGGGACCGGAATACAAAAGTGGTAAACCGGCGGTAGACACTTACATACCTCCGGGTTATTGGATGCGTCTAGACGACGAAATAGTTTGGTGCAGCGAAGAACAGATGTCCGATAGGTTCGGTAGCCTAGACCGTCGAAAACAAACCGTTTCCCATCAACATCATCACCATCAGCTAGCATCTGGTTTAGAGACCCAATCACGCTATCATACAGTTGCCTTGGGCGGGAAAAATGCCCCAATGTTGCACGCAAGACAACCGCCGTACCCACATCCACCACCAGTTCAGAGCCCGGATGGTAGTCTGAAGCCAACACCGCCTAGTAGCCGAATGTTGCTGCGAACCCAATCGCTGGGCAGCGTTGAAGGTTGGCAGCAACAATCGCCAATAGGAGGTACAAATTCGTCTCAAGATGCTAACAGTTCAACAACGTCAATCGAGGATCGCGAGTCTGCTGACGGTGCCAGTAGCCGATCCTCAATCAAACCTCCCAAAGAGAAAGAGTGGTACGAAACGTCTCTTGACGGAACTGGCCCACCGCCACCTCAACGCCCTATTGTCAGACGCGGTTCTCAGCACAACCCACAACAGCCGCCACCACCGCCACCCCTGCCTCCACCTCCTCCTGCTAAGGACCGTATGCCCGTCCGCAGCAACTCAATACCATCCAATCGAAGGACGAGAGAGCAGCTACCAGTTGTGCAGCCACATCAGCAACAGCAGGTGCAGAGGCCACCTATTCCTCAGAGCCGCTTTCACGAAAGTCGAGTGCTCGAAATACCTGCGGAGTCGAAACCATCGCCTGGTATGTGTAGACAAGTCGAGAAGAGGGCAACCTTTAGATTCTCGAGAAGTTTCGAATTGTCGATTTCCATGAAAACCTAGTAGCAACAAATACCAAATAACTTCCTATAATGTTAACTATCCTGTAACCAAATTTTTTTTTTTCTTTAATTTTTTTTATCAGAACTCCTACTGTGTGATATGTAAAATATATAAACCTTGTTAATAAAACTAATTCAATTTTTTTTTTTTTTTCCTAAGAAATTTCAATTAACCAAAGTAACTACTAATTCTGCACTTGAGCATTATATGAGTCACTTTATTATGTGTAGAATTAAAATTCAACAAAATTTTTGTCAGGATCTCAAGAAAATGGCAACCAATCCATTATTTCACTCAATCCTTTAACGAACCGCACAATCGTCCAACCCGGAAAATACCAACCGTATCGAGAGGAAACGAAACCTTTCGAAATGTCGGACTTTTACAAATATTCAACAAAGTTTCGTAACAAAAAGGTCGAAGCGAGTACAACAAATGAAGAACAGCATCAGCAGCAACAGCAGCAAATATTATCGAATGTGAATACTCAAAATGATCTAAACCAGATTAATAATCCCATACTAAGAGTCCATCAACCAGTGCAACAAAACACTTTTAATATGAGATGATCGCCGATTTTTTTATCTATTTAAGCATAGATAGTTGAACAATTTTAATATAAAGTGACGCTTGTAAATTTTTTAAAATATTTAAGTTGTACATATTATTTATTTTACGTATTGGTGTGTATGTACTCATGACTGATATTTTTTATAAATTTTTTATACTTTATACGGAAATTGTAAGCAATAAGATTTTTTAAAAAGTGTTGAATCAGGGTATCGATTTTCACTTTTTATTAAATAAAGCAAGCAAAAATTTTATTTAAAATAATATCGGATTTAACATTTAAGACGATTTTTCAACGTAACGTATCACTGCCACGAGCATGAAAATAATATGTGGCCTTAATTTATAACTGATGCATCGTATCGATTGTATGTACCTTATTTGAAAGATTTGTAACGGCACCGTTAAATGCCAAAGATTCATCAAGCAAAATGTACGTACTCTTATATATTTTCTGATATTCATTTGATCTCTAAAAATAATTTATGAGAAAAAGGAGCTACAAATAAGAAATATTTTTTACTCAACAGTAGAGCTAGTTTTTTTTTCCTCACTGATTTGTAGTTTTTAGTGCCTTATTAAAAGTTAATTTAAAAAAACGGCACTATGCCTAACTGTTTTTGTCTATTTTACTTTAAACGATAGCGCTAAAAAATATGTGATAAAAATTTGTATCTTTGTTCGTGGAGCACATGAACTATTTTATTACTTCCATTAACAAAAATATATCATTGTAAGAAAACGAATTCAAAAGCCAACCATCAATGTTTTTCTTTTTCATCGAACTTGGCTAAATGTACAAATTAATATCTAAAACACGCAGACAAACTGTGCATGAATACACAGCCTTGGGTAAATTTAAATTTATCGATTACGGTTTTTCATTCTTTTTATTCTGGAAATGTGTGTGCTAGGTTCGCAGTTGATTCATATCAAACTAATTAGAGCGAGCAAAAACTTATCTTTAAATTATCTCAGTTTACATTTTAATTACATTCTTTTGTGTTTCTCATATATGTATTTCTTGTTATAATTATTCTAAAAAAAGAAAAGATCAGCAGAAAGCTAAGTTAACTCGCTAGACAAAACACCCGTCATTGTGTATGTGAACGAACGAGCGAACCTCTTTCACTTTTTCCCGAATTATTACTTTTATTTAAACGAGAAACTTGATGTCAATCTGCTACTCTCGCTTTAAGCAATATAACATTAATATGCAAGATTTTTTTTTTCAGTGATAATTAACAAAAGTCTCACGTAAATTTTTCAAAAAAAATAAATAAATTAGAAAAGAATGTAACAATTCTTCGAGTTAATAACAGGTACATCATTACTTTAACAACGTCAACAATAACTATTTTATAAAACTTGCCAGAGTAGCAGGCCAACATCACCTTTGTATTCTGAACAATCAGTTTTTTGTCAAGTCTTTTTTTCTTTCAGTGACATGGTTTCATTTGTGTCTGATAACATTTTTATCCATATTAGTATTAAGTAAGCGCCTCTTATAAGCGTGTAGTGCTATTCAATTGTACCGAATAAATAGATCCAACCTTTGCATTATAACGTGGCACAGTTTTTTTTCGTAAGTTAATAAGGTTTTCAACACATATATGTATCATGTTATTGCAGCAGCAGGCGGTGATCCTCGGAATAGTTTAGCTTCTTATAATCTTTTAAAATAATTTATCGTATATCGGAGGTCCTCTCATTTCGCTAGTTTTCGGTCGTTTAGACAAGACAAAGGCTACGCAAAAATTTGCTGGCAATGCATCTCGATGACGTGCAGAAAAGTAGGAGACTAGTCGAGGTAAAGATCGTACTCGGACCAGTCAGAATCATCAGAATCTGACACTATATTGACAATATCTTGCAAATCATCCATGTACATCCAAAAATTATCTCTTTCATCCACAAAGTCCCAGAGTAGAAGTTGCTGCAAACACAAAACATAACATGACAATAAGATATTTCATTTATACCCACGATTATATACCGTTTCTAACTTTAGTATCAAGAAAATGTAATTTCTAATAGAAGTTTATATGTGTAAAAACTACTTTGAAGTAAACATAAAAAAGTAGGTACCATGATATTACTTACGTGGAACAAATCAAGTTCATTATCACCATTGCGACGATGTCGAACTGGAGGACCCACATCCGTCTTTGTGCCATCTGGTAAAGCATGCATGTAGAAACACTTGTTTCCAAAGGGACATTTTCCTGAACCTTTGTTGAAATACTTGCAATCTTTGGTACTGCAAAAAAAATCATCATTAATTATTTTCAAGAGAATCAAAAACAAAAGCACTGAGAATGAAATAAACTACCTTAATGCATCCTTGTAATCCGTGATAAGTTTGTCTTTATCTTCTTTAGTATCCACCCAGTACACACTGGGACAGACAAAATCTGAAGGAACGCGACATTCCGGACAAGCTCTGATGATTTTATTGTCAAACTGCTTAGCTTTACGCCACTTTCTGATGCATGTTAAGCAGAAACAGTGGTTACAATTCGGAAGAATACCGAACCTTTGCTCGTGGGATGACTTCTCCATGATCGTTTCGAAACACACGCCACAAGACTTTTCTCGACTGCGTTGAATAGCAAATGACAATTCCATGTTGATTTCGTGTTGCTTCATACATGCCTGTTAAAATATGACTTGTATACAACTATTGAATAATACATTTTTTGGGGCTTGTAATAATTGGATGTTTGACAGATGCCTGTGTGATTTAAATTACTAGGATTCAAGAGGGGTATAGGTGTAAAGGTGCTATTGGGTGATATGAGTAAATTTTTTCCTCAATAATTTTGTTGAACTTGACATTCCAATATTTCTGTTGATTTTTGAGAAGTTTTTTTTTTTTAATGAGATTTTTGTTACCGTTAGGTGCTCTACCGACTCATTTCTGAACTGCCCTAGGCAATTTCAAAAAGCATTTGAGAAAGGTACAGTTATAGAAAAAGATTTAACTGTAAATGAAAAGTTGAAGTCAAAGTAGGTAATAGAGGGGGAGGGGGTCGCGATCATAAAATGTATTTAAATAATAGCAGAGTAGAAAAATTGTCAAGAATATTATAGGTTCTTAACCTGCAGACGTCAAACTAATAAAATATGTAGGATCGCCTATTGAATAATCAGTAGGGTACTAGGGACCATATATCAAAAATTTATTTTAAAACGCATTATTTTAAAACTTATCTTGAAATGTTTTTAAAAAATACACATTTTTCAAAACATTGTTTTTTTAGAAATGCGTTTATAAAAGAAAATTTTGATAACACGTTCTAGTATTCAGCTACCTAATGCTTACATTTGTGTGCTTCTTTCTTAATTCCTCGTTATATGGATGAAGGGCAGGTTTACTGCACATGTCGCAAATTTCGCCGTGCAGATATGTACAGTTTGTTCTTTTGCAAATACCCGTGGCTTCGGCATACGGACACAGTGGATCCTGAGAGGAGAACGATGCTTGGCTAGAATTTTGGCCGGAGTTGGGATTGACGGCCTGGGCATATGACAGAGGCGCTGTCGTGCCAGACGCACAATTATCCATTGAAAAGGAGGCATTTGCGCTCGGGTTTGCCGAAAATGGCACGAATTCTGGAGCATTCACCCATTCCTCTGCATCCAAACTAGTATCTATGCTGAAACTGAATAAGTATGTTGTTTCATTGTAAACATATTTGGAAGTGCTGACGTCTGTTTTGGATAAAATATAAGTATTATATTATCTTCTATTTAAATCGAGCAATTATATTTCTGTACAAGTCTTTATAAAATTATAATTTCTTTTTTTTGATAATTAGAAACAGCCATTTGAATCCATTATAGTGAATAAATATTGAGATGAAGTTTAAAAAATATTCAATTAATGAAATAATATTACTAATAATCATTACTTTTTGTCTGCCAATGAACAATTTGAAGTAGCTTCAGGGCTAGAGCTTTCTAACTGGTTATTGGTACTGTGAACAAACCGACATCGGTTTCCAAATCTGCATAGACCCTGTTTGAAAAATTTGCACTGTTGTAAAGAAGATGAGGAGCCTTGTGAACTTCCTGACTCACTAGAAGATGTCTCGGTTCTAGAGCCATGTGCATGTTTGTATCTGCAATTACTGCCTTCCCGACAGCCTCCATTTCTGAAATACCTGTAAAAATGCCATTGAGCTATGGAAATAATGTATAACTCTTTTCGACAGTTAAATATTGAATTGATAAATTTCTCTCTTTTGACAAACATGTTCAAAAATTTTTGTACTCTATATTATATTTTGTACTACGAGATCTCATGGCCAACTTAGGTCAAGAGTGGCACAATATCGTCCATTCAGTAGGCAGGAATGAGTCACTCTAGAACTAAGGACATACGGTATTTAACCACTGAAAGTAGACATTCGTGAGTTAATTAAAAAGGCTCTGATGGCTTTTGATGATAAAAAGTTTTTACTTCAGATAATTCATATGATACAATTTTTAGTCATGGATTATTGGTAATAATTAGTAGTTAAAAATTTAAGAATAGTACAAAATGTTAACTTCCACTGAATCAACAATTGTAACTTCGTTATAACGTTTAGTTATTTATAAGTCTGGTCTAGTTACAAGAGTTTAGAGAAGCATTAATCAATACTACAGGCATACTTTACTTTTATTTCTATTCAACCGACTTTTTTTTTGAACCTAAGTTTTATTGAACGTGTAAGCTCCAACGAATAACACAAAAGGAAATGTAACTGAAAAAAAAATCAAAGTAAACCTTAGAGACGAGGTCATTTACATAAAAATGGCTTTAAAATAAATCTGGAACAATGAGACTTGCCAGGTTTTACCGGCGCATTATTTTAACTAAAAGCAAGTAAAAATACATTAACAGTTCTTACCAAGCGAACTTTAATCAATATATTAGCCACAGAAAATAAACGAACTTCAAAGGTCAAACGTAACCCCCATATTTCGGTATAAGGACTCGCAGAGAGGAGTGCCAAATTCATCAAAACACGTTTGGCCAAATGATCAAAGGAAGGCGGCAGTAGATGATAACTTCAAGCCCTTGGTCAAGTACATTTGTAAAATTGGCAATTCAATTTTCCAACTTTACGGTGTACTTGAGTATGTGTTACAGTTGATGCAAGGCTTCATGTTAATTGAAAAGCTAGTCTGTTTGTACTTATTTTACCATACCCCGGTTTGCATTTTGATCCTCCAGAAGCCGACGACATAACTGAGCCCAGCTCGTACGAAAGAATAATGATCAAACGAAAAAACGTGCAATTTTCGTCTATAGAACAATAGAAGAGGTTCCCTCAATGTTTACACTCACACACTCACACTAGGTAGGTGGTAGATAATTACATTGCTTTTCTGCACACGCACCAGGTGCCAGATGCCGTACGATATATACACAACTGTGTTAACTGTGATGTTGTTGTGTGTACGTGTAGTGTGTAGTGATATACATACATACCTACTAAGCATCAGATCAGATCAGCAGCTACAGAACAGACTGCCCCAGCCCCCATCCCATATCCCATCCCATCCCTGACTCAAGTGCGCGCGTTTCAATACATTGCGTACATACACTGCATTGCAACTTGCAACGTAATAAAATGTATATACATACACGTACACACACAAAATATATAACACCTCGACTGCCCTTCCCAAAAAAACAAAACACACATCAAAGGCCCATTATGACCAAACTTTTTCGGATGTTTCAGACTCAGGGATGATCCTGACGAAACCAAAGCGAAATAAGAGAAAGAGAAAGATACGGTCGAATCATCCTTACCGGCACATCATTGGGTTCTGGGCCAGAGCGTCGGCCATTTTACTGAGTCCTCTGTAGTTCGTCGTCGAGTTACTGCAGTTGCCTCCTCCTCCTGGTCTCCAATTCTGATGTTGTAGCAACAACAGCGCCGATGTGTTGTAGACTGGTTGTTGCCGTCTCCTGGAAACTCGTCCGCTCACGACAACAGCGCTGCTGCTAGACGAGCTGATTGCTAATGCTCTTGGGGAAGACGTCGCGGCGGGTCGGCCGCGGCGTCGAGCCGTCGTCAACAGCTCGATAGTGTGGCACCTTGGACACTGTACTTCTATATATATATATATATGGATATATGTGTGTGCGTGTGTGTGTGAAATATCAACGGCACGACGATTATGATGCTGCTGCTGATGCTCTTGCTTGTAGTATAAGTAGGTAGAGCCTCTTTTTTCGATGACGATGCGGACTGCAGAAGAAGAGAAAAAAGATCGAGAGATTGGCACTCTATTGTTCTTCCTTACGAGAGGGATTAATTTAAAGAGCACGATCCGCCTCTCTCTCTTTATGTTATTAGGTTTATGTTATTACATTTGAGAGAGAGAGAGAGAGAGAGAGAGAGCGTGCTGTCAGGTTCGGAAAATACACAGTTTTTAACTTTGATATTTGCTCTCTCTTAACGTGTTATCTTTTTTTTATTTTTATTTTTAATGTTATCTTGAAAATGCGTGGAAGAGAAAGAAAGTGACCAAGACAGCACCTTTGCCAGTAAATTAGGTGCAACAACAGCTGCCTCCAGATGGACACGCTCAATTACGCTGCTCCCGGATAAACATGTAATCAAGTGCAGCTTGAGACTAGTGTGGGTATACAGTTGCGATGGGCTGTACACTACACTGGAGCAGCACAAGCAAGTGAGGGATAGAGGCAGGGGGTAGGGGGGGACGTAAAGGCAAGTGCCGTTTGGAGACTCGTTTCGTCGCTTATAGCCGTGGACTCAAATTAATTTCACGTCCCCTACATACCATTTTTGGTGTCCCCAACCTCCAATGTCTTGATTTTACTCACTTCCGCTTTCATATCCTTGGCCGTGCATGTACAGTAGTTTTTAATTTTTTTTAATTTTTTTTTATTTGAAAGGCTCATGCCTTCAATTCCCAAAACTCAATGTGATCTCGAAAAAAGACCCACGTCAGGTTGCCTCAGCAAAAAGTAAGAAGGACAATGACAGTAGCAGCACCAAAGAAGAAGGNTTAACTTTGATATTTGCTCTCTCTTAACGTGTTATCTTTTTTTTATTTTTATTTTTAATGTTATCTATACATTACAAATATATGTATATTATAACGATGTTTGTATAATACCTACAACCGCAGCTGCCTGTGAGCTGTGAGTGCTGCGAGTGTGCTGATACTGCTGCTGGCGCTGATGTATATTTCTTATACGGTTTAACTGTTTCGTTTCACATGCGAAGCTCTCTCTCTTTTGGTGATTTGCTCATTGCTCTTGTACTTATCCCGTTTTGTGTCTCTCTTTGCTCGCTTTTGCTCTTGCCTCTTATACTCTTACTCACCTCACCAGCTCACGGCTCACCACCTTACCATTTACCAATTTATCGTGTCACAATTTACACACACGAAAAATCGCGAAAATACGTGTACACGCGTGCGCGACAAGCTTATACTCGCGGTGGGGACTGGGGACGTGGAGAATCTTTGAGAACTGCGTGGAAGACGTAAATGGGAGAATCGCGGTACTTACCAGCTGTCCGATCCTTACCTTGAGTGCATACATGGAATAAGCTATACATACCCGTACCTTCCTGAGCTTCCTTTTCTCCTCGATATGGATCTTTCTTTACGGACATTCCTCGAGGTATATGTGATGATGCCTTTTAGCGCATCGTCGTCCTTTCAAAAAAATCCTTCTTAGGTACCACATAATATGTGAACTTCTGAGCCCTACTAATTAAACAAAAATGCCCTTTTTTTTTTTTTATCACGCGTAAGAGATATAAAGTTGTTGATGCAAGATGGAGTTCCGAAATCATAAAAATTATTCATAGGTACAGATCAAAACAACCGCCCCGAGTTTTCGATCGTGCGTGTCCCTCTCTATGGAAAAAACTGTTTGGTTTTTGAACTGATTGTTTGTTCGGCAGTGCCGAAAATTTTTCATCAAATCGTTGAAAGTTTCTGATGCAACAATTTCAAGTCGCGAAAACGCAAAACTGTTGATGAGTTGTTCGGAACAATCGTTAATCCAATGCAAACAACGGCCGACCCTATAAGTCAGTTGTACAACACTAAAAAAAAAAAAAGAAATACGATCACCTTCGAAGGTGTAAAATCATCCAAGTTTTTTCTCCTCAAATGTTTTTCGTGGAATCGCTGTTATACGTTTTATTTATTCAATGCCATCGGAAATCGGAATATATGTATCAATAATTGTGAAGGCGCGCGTGACCTTAAAAAGTTTTTTAATTGAATGTGATCACAACACTGCAGTTACTCGGTCGGTTGTGATTTACATTATTTTTACAAGATGTATATGATTAAAATAGTAGGTACCTATTTCGCAACTAAATTTTCATCTTCGTTTCCGTTTTTTTTTTTTTTTTTAATTTTAATTTTAGTCTATTACTGTTGTGTCTCACACCGCTGATGGTATATTATTGCATCCTGAAGACGATCAATCATCAAAAGGACAAGTGTTCCACACACAAATAGGGATTATTTATACAACTTTAGATTTTTTCTGTCGAGTTAAATACTGTTACGTGGAGTTTACGGTGCGGGAATAAATAATAGGCCTACTCGTGGTTAACTGATACTTTATTATAATTCCTTACAGAGAGAAATTGCGCGTGTATTCTCGTTTCGCGGACTTATTGGTCCTTTCGCTCTCCCGTCTCTTGCTATAATCTCCCCTTTGCTCTCCTTTTCCTATCAACAATGTTGTAGACGTTTATGTACGTTTTTACGCGGATAATTCACTCTTGTTTACGTTTAAATGCAATTAACAACACAAGTATACGCATATAACGATCATCGCTCGGTGTTGTTATTGATTCTCTATGTTAATTTTTATCGTGATTAATAGGTAGATCTGGTACATGCTAAAAATTCATTAATCATCGCGTACACGTTGTCATAAGGTACTTACACAAAATAATATTAAAATCATAAAAACGAGCTAGTTATTGTTATATATGCGCATACTTACATATGTTTACACCACCCACGATTAACAATATTACCATTAATTGTCAAAATTTTGTTTCGAAAAATAATGATCTTAGAATAAGATATCATTCATTATATAAACATTACGTGTGAGTGCACTGATTTCAAGGGGAAATCATTTTACGCTAACGCGTATAGGTGTATTACCTCGTTTACTTATTGCACAACAGTACAACCATTACAAATTACGATACAGTGTGTGTAGGTTATACGATACGATGATGACAGCAAAGGAGCAAAGCAACGGTAAAAAAATATAAAGTGTGTAAGTAGTACAAAAAAGTCGAATCGAAACGACCAACGACGGTTACGAATTCGAAAATCATAGCACACACTTCAGAACAGTGGGCTATCCTCGCATGCGATTGGTCGATTCAATTGTCGGGCGGACAAAAGCGTCCAGTGATTGGACAGTTCTGCTTGGGCTTCGAAAAAAAATGTAGTTATATATATATATGTGTGTGCTACCCGCGCGCCCCCATTACCTTTAGCTCGAAGCTCCACAGTTACAAAATGACAGTGTCGAGTTTAGTTTCGGAGTCGAGAGACTTAAGAGTGAGCGAGAGTAACTTTGTTTCGCTGTGTTTTTTTGCACAACAATACGTGTGTTTACATCACGAATCGTAATCAATTACGTATTAATAGATATATCATACACGTAATAAGATAAGAGAAAGAGAGTGACGGGGAAAAAAGTGTATTTACAGATTGTACACGCCGGCTGTGTATCCTATCTCCAATCCGCCAAGCGAGTGTGTAAAGTTCAGCTGCTTGTACTTATGTTTTGCTGTTGATGTCGGTTTCGTTTCGGTTATGGTTCACTATCATTGTTGATTGACTCGGAGTCGAAGCAAAGGTATACACATACAGGGTACACAGATAGGAGGTATTATCAATTATATTCGCACGTATGGGCAAGTAGTGTGTGTACACTATGTAGTACATACTGTACAAGCAAGTGTATGCGTGGGTGTGGGTGTGATTATTTAATATTCAATGTATAATGAATTATTTATAGTGAGTGTGAGTGTGTGTACATGTACGTGCATACGTGTACATAATATGAAGTTTTGAAGTAAGTGGATTTGCAAAGATGGCAACTGGCAACCGTTAAGTCATAATCCGTGCTAGAAAGCCGATGCGTTGATTCTCTCCTAAGCATCACCATTTGATGTGTTTTTTATTGTTTTTTTTGCAATAATGTTGGTTTTTGCCGACACTGATGATGTATAGTATATACTTACACGTATATGTAATTGTAAAGGTGAATTGAATTGGCAAACATCAGCTGCATTGTAAGAGACGGATAATAAGTACTTAAATATACAATGAGCAGCAAATTATGCTGAGGGACTTTAGATAGCTTTAGATCGCGTACAATAATCGGCGCTCATCTGCATGCGTGGGTGTTCTTTTTTTTTTTTTTTTTTATTCTTTTGTTGTCAAGATGCGTTCCGGAACGCTGATGGCTCCCTTTTCTTTTGGGCGTGTTGTTATGCGTGCATTATCGAGTGTACCTATAGTGCCTCATAATAATGATTATTTAATAAGTCTATTAAATGGCAATGCTCCCTATTTTTGAAGTATAATTGTGTATTCATTAATTTTTTGTTGGCGGTTTCTATGTAAAAGTGTATAAGTAACGCAGTAATCGCATCACTGGATTTTCGGAGCTCTTTATACGTAATGTATACAAAAAGCTAACGAGTTCGTCCTTTTTCGGTGATCAGCTCTTGACGTTTTTTTTTTCTCTCGTCTTTAAAGTTGAGCGTACCTATATAAGTATAAGGAGCTTATCATTGATTAGCTTGAAGTGAGTTTATAGGCACCTAGCATGTGCGTGCAGCGGGTATTTATTTTTAGATTCACCGAGAGACTGCCTTAATTCTACTTATAGTGCCTTAAATTTTTGGAGTTGGGCTGGGAATAATTGGGGAATCACGTTGTTGGGCGAACACGGGCCTTTAAAATTATTTTATTGAAGAGAATTTGCAGTGTGACATTTTGTGTATGTTGAAGTGTTTTCAGGAAATAATTTTCATACAAATGGGTAAAATGTATTTTATTAAAAAAGGTTGAATCCGTGACAAGTTCAGTTTTTCGATTATACTTTCAAAAATATTTATTGATCGGATTGTTATTAGCATAAAATTACCGAATAAATTTTTTTTTCCAGGTAGCTGAAATATATATTTTTTTGTTGATGTATTAACATTAAATATCGAAATGGAGGATTGGAACAAGATACTCATTGGGCCAGCTGAAATAATCAAAGGTGTGGTATATAAATTATTTGAGACAGTATGATTTGTATCATTTTTTATGGCAGCTTATGACTCCTTTTTTTCCTTAGATCGTTTCTACTTTGTAACTGTAACATCGCCAGAAAAAGTTAAAAACACTCTCAACACTCACTATTTTAGCATCGACAATGAGTTGGTCTATGAAAATTTCTACGCAGATTTTGGACCACTTAATCTTGCAATGGTTTATCGATATTGTTTGAAAATATTTAAAAAGCTAAAAACAGTAGCGTCGAAAAAAAAAATTGTGCACTACACAACAATAAACCCAGAAAAAAGAGTAAATGCAGCATTTCTTGTAGGTTGTTATAGTGTAAGTGTCTGAATTTCAGTGCTAAAAATTAATACGTAAAATAAATTTTTAAGAGTTGTGATATTCGTTTTTAGATCATTTATTTGAAGAAAACAGCTGATGAAGCCTACAAAAGTCTAACTGCTAGTCCAAACTGTCCACCCTTTGAAATGTTTCGTGACGCCTCTATAAGAAAACCTTTTTATGAAATATCTTTGAAGGATTGCTTGAGTGCTATTTTCAAGTGCCACGAGTTAGGTTTTTTTAATTTTGATGACTTTAATCTTACGGAGTACGAATATTTCGAGCGTGTAGAAAACGGAGACCTCAATTGGATAGTTCCCGGTAAATTTATTGCCTTTTGCGGTCCTCATTCGAAAAACGAATATGATAATGGTAATTTTTTGCATCCAATATCAGACGTATGCTTACATTAATTTGAAATTTTTACTAAATCATTGTATTTCATTAGGCTACATACTACACGCACCAGAGTCTTATTTCAAGTACTTTAAACGTTACAATGTAACGACCATTGTGAGGCTCAATAAAGAACGTTACGACGCTGCAAGTTTTATAGATGCGGGCTTTGATCACAAAGATCTATTTTTTGTTGACGGATCACCTCCAACTTGTGCCATTTATCGACAGTTCCTACGAATTTCCGAATCAACAAAGGGGGCCGTTGCCGTCCATTGCAAAGCTGGACTTGGGAGGACTGGTACATTGATCGCCTGCTACATGATGAAACACTATCATTTATCGGCGTTGGAGTCGATTGCCTGGATAAGGATTTGCAGGCCTGGATCTGTTATTGGGCATCAGCAACAGTGGTTACAAGAGTAAGTTTATTTAATTTTTTAAAATCTTATTTCTTATTTTTTTTGTTTATGTTTCAGTAACTATTTTTTTTCTTACTTTTAGCAAAGAAGAATATTTACATTCTCTGGTAAAAGTGCCGTTGCGCTCTGAAAACGGCAATCCCGTGCACAAATATGGTATTTACTCAAAATCCTTATTGAAGCCTGAAGCACCCTTGGCTGGATCAAGGAATGCAAATGTTTTGCAAGACAACGTATCGGGGATAATGCATCAGGTTCATGGCATGAGACTCGAAGATAATATAATTACTCAACTGCCGAAAACACCGGTCAAAGTATCGATTTTGACTCAAGGCGATAAATTAAATCAAATTAAAGCCAGGAGAACTTTATCTCCTAACTCCAATACAAGCAAAAATTCGCCGAGTTCCATACCTGTAATGCAGTAAGTTTTAAAAAATTTAGAAAATTACTTGTGCAACTAAATTAAGTATGAGTTTAAAATAAAAATAATATTGCAGTCCGTACTTGGGACCACTATTGCGGACGAGGAATGAGAAGGGTTTTGGCTCTTTAGGAGGCAAGGACAAAGATGGTACTAAACGCGTTAGTACACGATCAGCCACGACGACCATAATTAAAAGGTATGCTATGATAATTTTTGACACGACATATTTTTCAATGGTACTGTCATAGACATTTTTTAAGTCGACAACATATTGGTTCGAATAATTGTCAAGTAAAAGTTGTTTTCTAGTAAATTCTAAATGTTACGGAATCTTAAAAAATGTTAATGTACAGCTGAAAAGAAATTTTTCGCAAATGTCCCTACAATACATTTGTCCTTTATAATATAGCTCTCTTTTTCTACTTCTCTAACAACATGGTCCTTCATCTTATTTAAACATATGTATATAACATGGTGTATATAGTGTCCCGGAGTATTGCTTGTCAAGTAATTTTTTGCTTTTTGAACTTTGTAACTCACCAACTGACTTCTCTGTTTTTTTTGTTTTTTTGTTTTTTTTTCTTTTTCTCTCGATATCTCACTATTGCTCTTTTTTCCCCCATCCTTTCCTCTTGATGGGTCCTTGTAGAAACGAGCCAACGTCTTACCGACGCCACACATCCGCGAAATCATCCCCAAAGCCGACTCTGACCCACAACAACACAAGTACCGCAACAATCGGCAATCGCAACAACACCATGACTGACGCTACCACAACCACTTCAACTACAATCACGACCTTGGCAACATCTACAAGTACAACAACAACCATAGCGGTTTCTTCCAAGCCGTCGGTGACAGTACCGCGAGGCAGCTACACGACTCTACCGGCAACGAGTACAGCTCGATCGGCTCGCGCTAATAAGCAATCTCAGGCTACCAATAATGTTACACGTTACTGGTCACTCAGGCAGTAAGTTTCTCTGTTCTCGAACAACAACCAATAATCCCAACAATCGACCCTAACAGTTTTCTCAACGTACTACGTACCTTAAAAAAAAAAAAAAAAAACACTTTCTCTTATAATACTTGTTGCATATATACTTACACCCCTACCTATTGCATCTTTCACATCTTTGTAATTATGGTTGTAGATGGATATCTTAATATGTTTTTTGTATGCGAAGATGTGTTTCTTTGGTTTATCAGTGTATGGCTTTTTTTAACGATGCCTGCTAATGTTGTGCCCTAGCTTTTTCCGTGGCTATACGCGATAAACAAAAACTTATGATTATACTTGATTTTACGAAAGATTTGGGTAGAAAGTACTTTCGTCACGCGATCAGCTCACTGTTTAGTCTACGTTATGCGGCTGTAAATTTTATTTACCGAAGAAAAAAGAAAAATCAATAGATGTGTATATGCATACAAAGTTAGGGCTGGAAGCCTCGAAATCGTTGAGAATGGTGACATAAAACCTGTTGGAATAAAGTTGAAACGTCTTCAACACAAGATGGGAAAAAGCACTCCTGAGTTTTTGTAACACATTACAACGCGACGTGCTTAAAATACACAGAAAACGCCTGTTTATTCTCAATAACTGCAGATTTCCATCTCAATGTGCGTCACAGAAAAACGGGGCTTCAAAGCAAGACATAACTAAAAAGCCCAAACAAGGGGCTAAAAAGAAATACGTATATAGCAAACATTTAGATATGCGATACAATTTTTTGCGAATCAAATTTTGTATGCGATAATCCAGAGCCTGTGCATGTTTCATACATTTTTGGATGTCTGTCAAAATCACGGTTTCCGATCATGTAAATACTATCGAGAGTGTCATAGTCACCAAGTTTTTCAGGTTTTATGTTTTTTTTTGCTATCTTCCTGCAACTTTACTGCATTGTTGAAATACGAAACCGTCCATTATAAATCAGTGTCTTCTAGGTCGATTAATTATAATACTTTGTGCCTGTTTGCATGGAAATGCATGGAAATCTGAAGTAAATACATCACACCTCATTGTTTGTCAAATGAGAGCATCATTTAGATTAAAATCACACACACACACGCCATGATTAATGGTTAGTTCGAAAGGAGAAATCCGCAAGAAAAGCTACTTTCATGTAAAATATGAATCAGAAAAAGCGCAGTGGAGGGCGAAAGATCAATAAGGTCGAGGCTGGCGACCAACGATCAGCCGACGTCGACGAGATCCGAGAGCGAGTCCAAAACGAAGCCTTCGCTGTCAAAACCGGCAACGACGCCACCGAAAACTCTCCCGTCCAAATCGGCGACAACCACCACGACGACGAGAACGAGCCTGAGAACGAGCGTCCTGCGTTCGAGCGATGCAGTTACCAGCGGCGTAGGTCCTTCCTTCTCTTTATCGTCAACGAGCCCGCCGGCACTCCAGGAAACCGTGGCGTTTCGCGGCTCCACGTCCTCGATTGGCCGACCAGGTCGACACCACCCGCTCAGGCAGTAAGTCGCCTGTCTGGTTTCTGTTATCTCGTTGGTGTGTGTATGTATGTTTATATATATGCGTATGTTGCGATGTTTTATCTCCTGCATCTACTTTGTTTTTCCCCTGATTGTGGCGTTAATATTATATAGTTTTATCGCTCGATTGTGATCGATGCGACATTCAGTGAATTTCTTTTTTTCTCTTTTTTTTCGAGCTTTACATCCATTTAGGGCTGCGTCGTTTTTTGTGCTAATATTACAGCTCAGCTGGTTGACAGTTAGTGTTTTTGTTTTATTGTTTGGTTGGCGGTGATTTGTTGCGAAAAAGATTTTTCCAACCGGCAGACACACTTTTGTAGATCTAAGGATTTTCTTTTAGTTCGCCTAACACCTTTTCGTCTTTTATTTTGCTCATTTTATAACGCCTTGAATTAAATGTGTGTGAGTGTATGTATGGCTTTACAAAGTTGTGGTACATTTGTCGTATTTAACTATTTATATTACCATAAAAGTAGTATTAACGGACAAGTTGCCATTAAGTCGCGTATAAATTACGATGAATTTTTGAATTTTCAAAATTATAAGTACTTACTCGAAATAATTGTTAAAATTGTTTTTTTATCGTTCGAGTTATATTTTAACACTGATGATTTTATAAACGATGAGTTTTAATATGAATTTATGAAGTGTTAACACTTTATTTTTAATTGTTTTTCATCGTGCTACAGAAATTCGAGTATATTAATAAAGTATATCGGTAACAAATTGATTTTTTAGTTCTTACTATATTTTAGTCATTTTAACACGTGTTTCTGCGATAACTCGTATATTTTGAACCAAACTATAACGAAGTAGTATAAAATCTTGACTCCACACTTGGGTTGTGCAAATTTTACATGTACTTATTTCTACTTATTTTAATGAGACGTAGTTCATGTATTAGTTGGGATCGCGAGTTACTCACCCACATATACGTAGATAGTTGATGCACACTGTTTACAGTAGTTATTTATATATATCATCCGCGAAATCATCCCCAAAGCCGACTCTGACCCACAACAACACAAGTACCGCAACAATCGGCAATCGCAACAACACCATGACTGACGCTACCACAACCACTTCAACTACAATCACGACCTTGGCAACATCTACAAGTACAACAACAACCATAGCGGTTTCTTCCAAGCCGTCGGTGACAGTACCGCGAGGCAGCTACACGACTCTACCGGCAACGAGTACAGCTCGATCGGCTCGCGCTAATAAGCAATCTCAGGCTACCAATAATGTTACACGTTACTGGTCACTCAGGCAGTAAGTTTCTCTGTTCTCGAACAACAACCAATAATCCCAACAATCGACCCTAACAGTTTTCTCAACGTACTACGTACCTTAAAAAAAAAAAAAAAAAATCACGTTTAATAGTTACAAATACTTGAGAAAAACTTGAATTGGTTGATCCGAGTCTAGGCCTCGGGAACCCTGATAAGTACATTTTTGAAAGTTGAAAGAAAACGACTTACCCTCGGGAAAAAAATCTTTGTTCGCAATGAGATTAATGAACCCATTGCTGAAGTCGTAGAATCCTTCCACGAAGCCAAAACGTTTAGCTCTGATCTGAGTACTATAGCCAATAACTTTGTTATCGACGTTGGTATAATAAGAGGGTGATAAACCACTGATTAAACCATTGGAGTTTTCTTGAGCGTTTAATCGTCCACAAAGGAGAAACAACAGGGCTAATGCCATTCCGTACCACCAACCTCCCATGTTTGAAAATTTTTTACAAAAATAATAATCTAAAATACAAACGATTAGAACACGGGACACTTTACTTTCAGTACACTTGTACAACGAGGACCGTCCGATATACTTAACGGCAAAGTACTTGGAAGAACTGTTGTATGGCATGTGAATGCTACCCCGCGACAAATATGAGTGAGTTGATACTCGGGAGAAGAGCCAAGTAGTAGGCCTTGAGTGGTTGCTTTCTGACTAGCGGGGGCTTTTCTGCCTCATGAAGAGAAAGTCGGATTGGGACGTGTCAGTTTACTTCACCAACCATGAGTGTGTCTTATCACCATCCAGCTGCGTATATACTTACAGATAAGGCCATTTCTCCAATACCCTAGATTTTAATTGATGACGCATTCATACTTACACGTTTAAACCTCTGACTGCGAAAGCCTCAATGCGAGTACGGATACAGGCCGAGGCGTAAAAAGTCTTCATAAATCTTCCCAAGTCCAAGTAATAGGGACTTTTTATNGTATAAAAATTTAAAGATGTTTTTGTCCAACATGAGAGTGAGAAAGACAGTAAGCGCGTGGATAAACAACTGACAACTTAAGGAGCAGACAATATTTACCTCAAGGTAAAAATTTTTACATCCAACCTTCAAGTTACCAGCAGTAGCTGACGCTCTTGCGTGCGCACATGGATATAGTTCTCACTGCTTACCGACTAAGCTCCAATAACAATGTGGCAACGTCGCGAGTTCATGCGGGCGCGCTATAGCCTTCCAACCCCATTTAGGGGTAGTTTGGAACGTATTTTCAATCGGCTCCTATTTAAAAGCTATTTGCCCTAAAAAATTAATTCCAACGGGGTTCGCGTCAGAAAAAATCGCTCTACACGTGGTTCTCGGGAAATGCCACCGTTACATATCATGCATATATATATGTGTGTATGTATTTGTAACATTTGAAGTCAGTGTCGAATGCATTATTTCATAAGCATATACTTTTATTTTACATAGATTCTTAAACTAACACTGATACTTATGAATTTTAAGTATATTTTTTAGAAAAATTTAATGAAGTTGAATACCCTATATGTGTATTTTAACACTTTTAATGTAAAATATGTTGACGTCTTACCCAACACTGAAATCAAATAAATGCATGACGTTAATACGTATTTACGAAAAAGTATAGCTACAACGTCTTTGGCTTTTTGCATACAATATATATATAGCATCGACAGTGTCCGAAATAATGTTGAAATTCTACGTTAAGTTGTTGAATGTGGTTGATTTTACGCATTTTACTGTGAATTTTTCAAACTTAGAAAAAAATTTTTTAGAAATTGAGTTATTTACTCTATCAAAAAATACGCATGTACATTATATTTTTATTTTAATACTGTTACAACTATTCTGAATTTCATCTGAAAATTCGAGAAATCGTCAGTTTTGCTGCGTTTAAAAGCAACTCTTATCAACTTACGCTTGAAAATTTTAAAAACTAAATGAAACGTAGTGTGGATAAAACCAAATGTTTGGCACGGAAAACAAAAAAAATTTCCGGGTCCATCGATGCTATATAAAACAAAAAATCAAAATGAGAAACAAAAGAAGCAAAGTGTTAATGACTAAAGTATCGAATACCGTACAACTTACACACGACATAAACATCTGCAATGAAGCACGCCATGTAGAGGAAGCTGAGTCGAAAAAAAAAATTCACAAAAAATTTGTAAAAAAAAAAGAAAAAAACTAGAACCCCCGTTGCAATGAAAAAAAAGCAAGCACTTATAATAATAATAATATTGAAAAAAAAAAAAAAAAAAAAACCCCAATAAATGTGAAATAACAGCAAGCAAAGATATGTATACCGACTCCGTTGTTGTTCTTTTTCAACTTTTGCAGTGCGCGCACGTCAAAAAGTTTGAAAAAAGCAATTATCAGATAACTAAACGATATTCCCACCAGTGGCGTTGCCGCAGGGGATGACGATGATGTTCCACAGCGGCAGCAGCAACAACGACAGCCACTGGTCGACAGTAGTGGCAACGGCAAAGGTGCCGGTGCTTCGACAACGACCAGCACCAATTCGACAACGGGCCGCGCAGTCACGCTTCAGCGGCGCAAGTTACGCAGATTCAATCCCCTCGTCAAATCATAAATACTCAAGTCCGATGTCGTGTTATTTTAATCGACCTCTCTTGTACAGCCCTGACACGTTCAGACGAGCACTTATGATGATTTTTGCTCATCCAGGAGCAACGAAAATAATACATTGATACAATGATGGTCGGCGAGATATTGCTTTAAATTGGCTCCAATACATTTATACGTACATACACACAAAATAATACTACAAAGAAATCCAATCGCGTCTCCGCGAGATGGTTGTGTACAATTATGTGAAAATATAAGAATCAACGGGATGTGCTCGATGATTGTACCCAAACGCAGATGAGGAGAAGAGTTTTATACTTATATGCAATGTGTATAAAATGAAGTATGAACATTCAAATCATGCAATCTTGTTTATAATACATACATACGTTAATAGATTTTCGTGATTGGAAGAAAAAGTATTTATGTGTACTTATATATTTTTGTGTGAAGATAACAAAAAGAGAAACGATGAGAAAACAAGAAAAAAAAAAAAAATTAATTATGCTTTAACAGCGAAAATAATAAAATTATACGTTATTGTATATAGTAATTCATTAGAGTATTAATATGCTCATTATTAAAACATAATTTTATACAATTTTTTTCTCGGTTGAGTAGAAATTATTCAAAGTTTGTGTAATTTCTTTACAACTTTTGTGCAATTTCGCGTGTCAAACGTCGTAGTGATACGCTTTATTTTTTTCTTTTTATTTTTTTTATATTTGATAATAGAATATATAAGTACGATATTCCCACTGGTGG